GGCCTGATGCTCGCAACACTCCAATTAACAGTGACAAACTGGAGCGCCTCTCGCTCAGCTGCAGCCAGCGACCTTATATCTAAACATGAAGCACCGGGCAGCGCGCAATAACCGAGCAACACTGCGGCGGAGCTGCTGAGGCCCAGCCAAAGAGTTCTTACGTCCCCACAAAGATTCATCAAGCTGAAAAAGCAGGCATTAGGGAAAAAGTCGAGTTAAAACAATTACTCCCAAACTGGGGCGTGCAAAGGGACACGCAAATTAAACCGCATATTCCTCCCAAGCTTCCTAATCCAACCACGATTTGAGGAGCCGGTCCAGAGTCACCTCACTCATCACCACTGGTTACCTCCTTCCGACACTTTAATTACCCCTTTTTTGTACACTTTCACATCCCATCTAGTTGCTTTCCATCTCCCTGCACATCATTTAGCTTCATATCTTCTGCCCACTAGGCCCCCAGGGGTCAGAAACACAAATAAGGAGGGTGAAAGTCAGCTAAAGCCCCCATTCAGGGACACATGAGAAATGTTGGACTGTCATGTCTGCTCAGAGAGCTGCGGGTTAATTTTTCCTTGCCTGACGTTGATGTAAATATCCTGCTTGGAAGGGCTGGAAATGTGTTAAGTGACTCCCGGTGAGGCTCTCCATCTGTTGTCAGACGTAATCGCTCACACAAAGAGGCTGCTGCTCAATCACTGGGCTGTCTGATAAGCTCTCTCTTCGTTACACACACTTCCCTCCAGCTGTTCGTCTTCATATGGAAGTCACATGTGGATGTGAAAGTGTCAGTGCTTATTTAAACATCAGTTCCTTCAGTGTCGCTTCACTGAAGACAGAAAATCCTCAGAGTTGGCAAAGAAGGCGGCATAAGTTGATAAACAAGGGAGTTGTTGTTTTTGACTGCCAAGCCAGTCCATACTCTGTTGACCCGAGAGCGCCAAAGGGTGGCGTTATAAGCCGAGAAGAAACACCAACATGGAGACGCTTACTGGACCAGTGGTGGTAGAGCGACCAAATTCAACACGGCCTTGCTGTTCGAATCCATTTTTTTTCAAATTTAAATAACTTCATTATAAAAAAATAAACTTAGTATACCTGAAAAAATTTATAATTTAAATTATATCTGACTCTGGGGCCATTTTTAGCATAGTCACAGTCTGTATGAACATTCTGCAAAGAACTGATGAGAGCAGGCCTCCTCCTCTCTCCTCCTATGGCCCTTAGCAACACATCTTGATTGCATCAAACGTTCCTCATCACTCAAACTTTCTCACTTGCTGAAATGGGTGCATGTGTGGAATGTCTAATGCATACCACAGCATGTCCATCCTAGAGCTTGCAATTATCATCACACAGCACTTCTTTTCCTTTTAAAAAACATTCTTTCTTGATGCATGGTTACAACATCACAACACACACAAATAACAATTTCAATACTTTGGCCTTTGCTGTAATTACAGCTCCTCTGCAATTGAGAACGCACACAAGCGACCCCGACAAAGCCTCAGGTGAGGCTGAATTATCTTTCTATCATTTACTACCCTCTATGTCAACATAGTTTTCTCTAATCACCAGCAGCAGGACATGAATCAATAAAAATGATATAAGGCTGAAAACATAGGAAGCACGGAGGGTACAGGCCTGGGGCGCGACAGGCAGCATCACAAAACGGGCAGCGTGATTTACAGCCTCTTTTTGAACACCTGGGCAAACTGTTACCATGGCAACACAAAACAACTTGAGATGATAACTAAGGTGGGTCTTCCTGTGCTTGAGATGAAACTATGCAGGAGCAAAGATGAGACATGAAAAAGCTTGAAAAAAAACACACAAAAAAAGGAATGAACTCATGTTCAATAAGACTTAATAAGAAGAAAATAGGGCTATTTGGTTCTTCTATATTAAATCAAAACTGAGAAAAAATTGCATATTTGAGCTGTTTAGCCCTGTGGAGACCAAGATAGGGCCTCTGTTTTAACTGAAAACTACAGCTACCTCCAGCTAAAGGAAGACAGGATATTGTTTTGAGATACAGCTCAGGGCAGAATAATATGTTTTGTTCTTACTGACAGGGAAGAAAACAAATGCTACACTTGTCCCCGTGATGCTCACGGTCAAAGGGGGATTCTTCATGGTCAGGTCCCTGAATCCCCCAGACGTCTGGGGTCCTTCAAATATTGAGAAAGTGTCCTTCATTTTGGGAATTTTCACGGATGCCTGCGTGTATCTTTGTGAATCCTACTTTCACAAATCTGGGTGTAGCCGACTTATGACACAAGAATAGAGACTTTAGCACCTTCTGAAGGACCCAACATGGACCGGCTTGCCCCTTCCTTATAGGAAAGAAGTGACAGACTAGGAAAAAATTGTCTGATTTCACCCATTAGGATCAACATTTTCCAAATCCACCTGAAACTTGAAAATTACCATAGTTACGTCCATGCATTTTACTTCAAATATTTACTTATGATGTTCAGAGGTAATCATTTAGAATAATTTAGAACTATGTAGCACATATACACACACACAGAACTCTTCTTCAGAATGTGTGTTTAAACTTTAACTCCAGCGCCTCAAAGAGAAAAAAACTTACAACAAAGCGGGTACCGCAATACATCAGATCAATGAAACCTGCTGGCACTCAGTTATTTGAGGTGTCCACATCAAGTTTGACGGATTCCTGACATTAACGCCAAGCTGCTGGAAGCCTCTGTAGTTGAGCTGGTCGAGGGGGCACAAAACACATTTATCTCACATTTATTTCAAGCTTGGAATTTCCCCTGTTTGTCATCATCCCCGTTTGCCCATTTCCACGATTAAATAAAAACTCAAAGATCAAAAAAAGTCTTAAAAAAGAAAGAAAATGGAACAAAGATGAGAGAAGGAAAACTGTAATACACATTAAATCATGGAGCAGGAGGCTCACTTTGACCGTCTGTAATCCGCACGCAGAGATGCAAAAACATTCAGGACAAAATCAAATGCCAAGATGCTTCAACTCAGATAATGGACAGGGACAGCGTGCAGAGCTGCAAAGACAGGAAACCTCAAAAACAAATGAGCAAAGTGTGTTGCTTGGACAGCGTTAAACTCCAAGAACAAAATCCAGAAATGATTTCATTTCTGGCTTTTGAGTTGACTTTTTAAAATGTTATTTAGAAATTTAATTTCACACTTTTGGTGACAAAGTGAACATTTCCTTATCTGACCTTTGCACAGCTGCTGCCAGAATTAGTGAGGCCAAGCTGTTCAGGTCTTTACGTGTTGGCGTAAACACCCAGAATCATCCATAATACTCCTGTTTACATGGCAGCACTGCAGAAAGTATTTTTTGGTGCGCTTCTTGTCAAACAGATAATTATCTGCCTGAGTCACCGTGAACAAATCTAAACAGTTACAATCATGATTATACTTTGGGAAAAATTGTATGCAAAAAAAGAAGAAAAAAGAAAGAAAGAAAAAAAGATTATTCATAATATCTGTGTGCTTTTCACTCACTAAACTGGTTTTTGTCCATCTTGATTTTTCTATGCCCTGATACTTGTTTCCCTAAAAGCATAGCAAACCAGACAAAAAGTTAGGTTGTTACACAATTAAACACAGTGAATTGTACATAAAGGGCAAAAAAAGCTGGAAACACTAAGAGTGCTTTGTGTACAAGGCTGTTAATGTGCAAATCTCCCCAGTCTTTTAACATAAAGGTCTGTGTGGGACTGGTCCACTTCTAAAACCGACACCTCTGAGGTTGCACCATTCAGTCACAAAATAACACTAAAAGGCTCTTCCATGCATAAGAGAACCTATTAGATTGTGTCACAAGGAAATGTTTGTTTGAGCAGGATAGCAATGAAACCAGGAAAGAAAAAACAAAGTTTCTTGCAAATGAGTAAAATAGCAGCTAATTTAAAAAGAAAGAACGACAAACACTCGAGTACTATGTTTGTAGTTTTTTGCTTGGATTACATCTGTATGAACTCACTTTTTACTTAATCTATATAAATCAGCCAGGAAAGGAAAAGTTCAAACATTTTTTTTTTCAAACTGAAAAAGACGACTGAAGCCAGCGCAGAGAAAGAGAATTGTTTCCACATATGTGGTTGCTATCACAATCGATGTGTTACACAGTGGAATAAGTTGTCTTATAGTTCAAATACTAAGGAACCTTGACTAAAAAAGTTTCAGGATGGTTGGCAAAGAAGGGGATATACAGCAGATATTAGTCAGATGAAAAGAATATCCAGGCTGCATTAAAGTTCCAGTAAAAGATGAGCAATGGGAAAAAGGAAAATAAACACTCTCACTACTTAGTCTACTTTTAAATGTAATCAATTGATTTTAACTGCTGCTTTAGTCACCAGGCCACTGCTCAGGTGACCGTGGGGCCAGTCAAAGCCTGGTTTGCACACCTTTTTAAAACCTTGGATCACACATCTTGGAAAGTGAAAAATGCTCAGCTTGGGACAATGACCTCAATGATTTAACCAAACATTTCTTTACACTTTTATTGCAGCTTAAATAATAGAAAAGGGGGGAGTCAAATGTTTAAAAATGTGCAACCCAAAATGAGGATTTATTCATTTTTAATTCCGTGTGAATATTTATGGATGGAATCATGAATTCAGTATGGCGCAGTGGAAACATTTTGGAAGCAAACTCAAAGAAATCCTCCAAAAAATAACTAAAGCAATATGGTTGGATCATTCAGCAAGATAATGACGCAAACCGTACCAAATGACTGTTGAAAGAATATTCTGTCCAGGCAAAATATATGTTCCGCTGAGAGCCCTGTCCTACATCTACTAGACCACCAACCAGTGCTCTGACAGTCTATTTCTTATTATTGAGTACTTTTGCTTGACAGCTGTGACGGTCTGTAGTTTTTGAGAATATTTGCCTTTGAATTGCTAACATTTTTACTAGATTGGGACATTTTAGCCAAGAACAGTGCGTATGTGTTTGTATCCATGTGAGTCTTCACAACATGCCATCTGATGTACTTACTCCCTCTCCTTCTCTGTGAGTCTGTCAGTGATGGTGTCCTTGATGGAGGAGCGTGAACCTTTGTGGATCACGGGGTAGCGCAGAGGAATCTGAAGGAAGCAGGAGATCATCAGGACCAGGTGTGCCGTGTAACCCAAGGCGACCGCCACGCTCCCATCATCTTTTGCTGTTGGATGGATTTGGATTCATAAGCAATGGTTTCAACTCTTCAAATCAAGAAACTTTTAAGGAATCAACATTAACACATCAAAGCCCCTCAGCCCGTCATTTAGATCAAATCAAACCTTAAACTGATACACTTTTTTAAAAAATGGATTAGAGTTTCCTCAAAAAGCACCGCTCACCGACTTCTTGTTTTCATTGGAATTGTTCTCTATGAAAGATAAACGGTGTTTACAAGATGCACATTGGGATTCTACCTCATGTGAATCCAAGCAAAAATGCATCGCCACGCAACAAAAGATAGCTTTGAAACCGAGCATCCACAGGAAGAAGAGCAGTTGCATTCATGTGGGGACGTGTTTTGACAGCGTTAGGGAACGGCAACAAAACCCGCCGGCCGCACTGGGATTCCCAAAGTCTGTCAGATGTGCGCTGGCGAAGCAAAAGCTTTCCATGTACTGCAGTGATCCCCCATAGGCTCAAATAACTTGGGATTACTGGATGCCTTTGTGGACATTTTCCGACAGGAAAAGAATCAACAAACCCAGTTGCTTTATGCATGAGCACCACTCTGAAGACGAGATGCTGAGTGGTCTCACATTGGTAAACACCAGCAGAACACGACTGGAGGCGAAGCTAAAAATCCCTGTGGTTTCTCTCTTAATGCTTTGAAATGATACACTTGGGCAACAAAATGGCAGAGAACTTGGCTCATTCTGTGTTGTATGTTTTTCAACTTAACAAGCAACCCCTGAATCAGATCATTGTTGGTTTTATTCTTCTCGCCTTACACCTAAAGTTCCCGGTGGAAGCAGCTTCCTGAATCTGAAGACTTTTATGTTCAGGAAGGAATAAATAGACTATGTCCATATAATATTCAAAGTAATCACTTAAACATTATCCTACAAACAAATGGACCAGATTCAGTGAATTCAACAATTCAACTCTGATCCCTAAATAGACCAGAGGGCTGTGTTGGTCAACATCTCATTGGGTCATCAGGTCATATGAAACCCCAGTGAGTCATAAAATATAAATATAGAGCATAAACAGCAAGTGAACTGTGCAAAGAAAAATAAAAAATTGGAAGTTAATAAAGTTCTCCACCCTTTCTCTACACTGACATATCAGAAGGCTGCAGGGGTGATGTTGGAGCTTAATGATGAAAGTTTGCAAAGGCAGAAGTCAGGAATTGCATATGGGAACTGTCAGTAGGCGGTAAGTGCATCAGGATGTTCTCCGGCAGCACTCTCACCCAAAGCAGCATCACATGCTCGGCCGTTTGCTCGCTTATAAACGTCCACCTATACAGGACTAAAGGCAAAAGCAGACCCGGGCCTCTGCCTTATAGGAAGGCAAACAGGCAGGCTGTCACTACGGTCTACGGTTAAAAAATGTTAACAGGTGGAGTGTGACAGCAGGGAGCGGAGGAGATCGGGAGTGGTATTCCTGAATTATGGGGCCTGCAGGGGCTCACCAGCTGGGAGGAAAGTAGCTGGAGAATGTTGAGTGGACACTGGATGGTGTGTTCATAGTGTTCTACAAGTGTCATGATAAAGCTAACCATTTATAAACCATTAAATACAACCTCTCACTTGGTTTATCTGCGCTACAGAGAGGTCATCAAGTGTTTGCTGCTGTAACAGCAAATCCTATTTATCACCACACATTATGTGTGACCGCTTCTCTAACCTTCTCCTCCAAGATGGTAACCGGGAATCTGTGGCTCAGAAGTGCCTGTAGACTATTTAGTTTGGGCTTTTAATGCTCTGTTGCCTCACACTTTGTCTTTGACACTAAACATTGTGGTATCTGATGACGGCAGATTTAAGACAATCCAGCAAAAACTCTGTATAAGAATGCTGTACCACTGAATAGGTCTTCCAACAAAAAGAAAGATCGGTGCTGTGAAAAATCCCAATCTGAAACCTATCCGAGTCGCTTCCCCGCCCAGCCATCAGACAGGGCGGAATTCCAAACCTATTCCAAGGTTAAAGATTCCCACATGGAAATCTTTTCAGTCTCCATTTTTATTTATTGATATGTAGTGTTGGGTAGGGAAAAGTGACTGTAAATAAGAAAAAAAAAGTTTCCTCTCAACTTCTATCAGAAGTAACATTTAAACAGCAAATGTTGCCATTTTCATCTTCAAATTTGATTTAATAGCATCTGTTCATTTAATTCTTTCCACCATTTTCTTTGGGCAAATGTTCTCATTGCTTTATTTTGTTGCAATGATTTTGAAATTCTTCCCTGCTGTCAGTTCCAATAAACTGCTCTTCTCCTGACGTGTCAGCCAACCTGCGTATTTAACACAATAAGCATCAAATAACAGGCAAAATTCTGTAAAATCTGAAGAGCTGCCTGAAAAAATACCCATGTACCACCACTAACTTTAGAGCTGAGGCAAAGCATTTACTCTGGATGTTTTTAAACCGCCTGTCCTTTTGCAACTCCAAGCACACTAACAGGCACGTAATAAATTACCTTGAAAGTCCTCCGAGTTTGGCAGCTTCACTCCACATATGACATAAGCCGACTGACTGGCCTGTGGATTTAAATGAGAAATTTCATATAAAAGACAAAAAAAAAAAAAACTCACACAGGATGAAATCTAATGGGAAAACAGCTTTGGCAGAAATTTGCTCTAAATCAATGACTTTTCGTGTAGTTATGTCAGCATTTCAGCATTTAGATTGTCTGCCAAATATCTTGTGAAACTGGGTGATCTTGATGAGTCTACGAGGTGTCTAACAGAAAATGGGAGGGCTTCTCTGGAAGCACTGGGGTGAAAACGATATCAGGAATTTCAAATGACTTTGGAATATAAATTTAATCGTCCTCGCAATTTCTGCTCTTTCAAAGTTCAGCAGCCAGCTGATGTTTTGCGGTCGCTGTGTGAAAAGTGCATCATGGAGCAGAGTACAATCAGCTCCACTTACCACATCAATGGGGTAGATGTAGGAGAGCTCAGACAGCAACTGACGACAGCGGAAGGTGAGCTGGGCATTGGACTTGAGAAACTGTTCTCTGAGGAGATAAAAACACACACAGAGATGACACGATGAGCAAAAGACGAGCTGCAGGAGACAAAATGTGGAAAACTGGGAGCAGTAAAGTGAAGAACCAACAAATATAAGACTAGATGAAACGGTAAAAACAAAAACAAAAATATATCAATTTAAAAAGGTCTGAAAAGTGTGGGTTTTTCAGTGTGTTTTCTAATATTTCCACCACAGCCTTGGAGGAAGGGGGTAACAGCCCATGACCTCATGCAGATGAAAAGGCATTGTGGGGGTAAAACAATAATTGAATGTGATCCATCCTCGCATTAACGTTCCTCCCTCATTCACTTGAATTTCCTATCTGGCTTCGCCTGTGGCTAGGAATCCCGTATCACTTCAGATCTCTCTCGGTGTGAAGCGGCTTTCTGCGGGTGAGGGAGCAGATAGACTGGTGTGTCGCGGCCGTTTGATCTGAAATGGCTCGTGTACAGCCAGATTTGACCCACACATCTGCCGTTTAAGCCCTTTTATTTCTGTTAAATGTGCAAACCCTTCCCACAGCCCTCCTTTAGACATAGAGAAAGCCTTCAGAACCCCCCCCCCCCCCCCCTTGCTGCTTTATCCTTACAGTGTTTTTAACAGACACAAGGAAGTGACATCCATCTTTTTATCGCTGCTACATCAGAAACAAACATTTTCCCCCTTGTCAAGTTTTCTCTGTTTTTCTTTGAGTACACCCTGTCACCATGCTGAGATGTGACAAGTTTTCATTAATAGTTCTTTGGGAATCACCTTGATGCCTCAAAAAAACTAGGTTCTGACTGTCAGACTGTAATCTTTGGCTTATTGATACGTGCAGCTAAAGGAATGGGACTACCTGGTGACTGCAAAGAACTCCATATAATCATAAAACTGTTCAAAGAAAGTATAGTATTCGGTAAATCTACATGTGTACTTTCTCCTGCTTGTTACATAAGCAGACTGATTCAACATTCAGGTATCTGCAAGGGGCAAAGTGAAGTCAGTTGATGTTTTAAAAGCACATCTATGGCAGCAAAAGATCCACAACCAGAGACCCTGAGATGTGTTCTGTGAGATTAGTGCTTTGTGAGCCTCAGCAAAGTACTTGCAGGAATTGGAGAAAAGCTTAGAAAATTCCAGCCAGTTTGGCTAAATGCTTAAGAGGAATTAAATGAGAGTAGAGCTTCCATTAAACCCATAAACAACACATATTTTCAAGGTACTGATGCTAGGCAGATGTAGAAGTGTCTGCATTAATTTCCTGTTTGCTGGGTCTCCTCTCGGCCCCTTCTGGCTTTCAAATCGCCTGGGTACACCAACTGGAATTGTCAGGCACTTTTTTCAGATAAACAAAGCTGCATCCAGGGTTTGCACTCACTCAAACATCTGCCCACATACTGAGATAAAAACAGGCCAAGGGGCTTTTTGTGCAAAAACCTTCTCTTTGGGTTAAAAAAAACCGACTTTGTGTTTGGTTTGGAGGAAGCGTGGTGTGATGCTGGGAACGGGACACAATCAGTGTTAAGCTAGATCTGGACGGACACGGAGCCGTGTACTTTCCACAGCCTGGACCTGACAGGGATAAATGCCTTTAACCTGTTTGGCCGGCAGAAAGAAAGCAATGGCTAATTACAGCTTCACACACACACACACACATACCTCTTGGCTGTGCATTCCTTCTGCAGCTTGGTTAGGGACTCTTTCTCATCCTTCAGACACTGGTGCTGAGCAGAAAACGCTTCCTCTGACACAGACAAAAAGAAAAGTGTAAATTACCATGCTCCCGTTCTCTCATTTGCTACATCTGAACATCCAGGTGGGAACGACTTTGGCTGGCTGCCTTCCTCTATTAAACAAGATCAAGCAGGACTTTTTGATCAGGACCAAACCGTTTCCTGTCGACACCACATAAAACCAAACAACATATGTATACTAATTACAGGATTTGTCAGACTGTAAATACAGAAGTGGGCACATAAATAAAACTAGAAAGAAGCAGTTAGAGGCAGCAATGACACAGCCTCTCAAAGGGAAACGCAGTGAATGAAATAAACACAAAAAACCACAACAATGTGTGTTAATAACAGCCATTCTGGACACAGCCATTCTGGACACAGTAACACAGTAGTTATTCCAGAATGAAGATACAAAAATCAGTTGGAGGGTTCTCCTTTACTTATCTTCATCCCTTCATCACATGTGACCTCATCTTTTTTTTTGGAAGATTAAATGGTTTTCTGTGTTATGTAACACAAACGGATACTAAGGTGTTGGTTGCTTTTGAAAACGTGCGGTTTAATTAGGCATGCTGTCCACCCTCAGACAGGCTAACAGCAGATGGCTCAAAGGCAGTTTGAAGCAGTTTAGATTATCACACCGTAAAAGATGAGATGAATCAGAGGAGCTGCTTGTTGTTATCACATATTTCCACTTACATGCATGCTTCCCATATCGTAAGGGTGTAGTGATTGAAAAAACAGAGGTACTCTGAAACATCTCTATCAGAATAGCTGGGAAGACAGATAGCAGATCAGCCAGAGATCAGACAGCCCATCCCTCTGCAGTGAGTGATGACACGAAAACATATTTTAACATGGACGGCATGTCCATTACCGCTTTCATGTAATGCCCAGCTCAGCCCTATCTGCTCTGTGCATCAATCTCTGTATGCTTTCATCCCGCTAACCTGTTCCAGTGTGTACAGAGGGACGGTATGGAATCAAAGTCCGCTGCAGAGACCATGGCCGAGCACATGAAGCCCCCGCTCTGTTTGTTTCTCACCACACTTCCACATAAAAATATTAGATACATGCCATAAATTGCCAAGCGGCTTTATAATGAATGTGACGTTGAGGAAATCACGCTCCATCTATAAATCCGTCAGAGCTTTTCTAATTGTGGACATGATCCAGTGCACAGAGACATCGCTTTGGCAGCAGATGTTGGGTGTCAGAAAGAAATTCAGCAGCAAAATGCAGCACCTGCTGCTTTGGGGGTTCGCCTGAGTCAGATCTCCTTTCATTCTATGTGTGAGAACTGCCCTCTTCCAGCAGACCGGGATGTTTGATTTCGATGAGTCGAGCTACATTTAGAGTTTGGCCTGAACGATTAAGATGTACACTCTGTATGCACGCACAGGAGGGGATTCAGGTTGCCGACCGAGGTGGGTTCAACATGCATCTCAGCACAGCTGAATCCACTTCACAGACATCTTTAACTTACGTTTCTAGATGATTTTGGCAGATAAAGTTGCAAAGCAGGAGTCCACAAATGCTTTAAGCTACCGTGAGATGAAAAAGGTCTTAACAGGTTGATTTTCTTTAGGGCAGAATTTCAGCCAGTTGACCAAAGAAACGAAAAAATTTGGAAACGAGAGCAGCTTCATCAGGATATCAGCCGTATTTCTACATACCTGTCTATATTTAAAAAAAGGTGAAACCATGGAGCCTGTAATTGCCTTGGTTCATTTGATTCAAGCTGAGTGTTTACATGCAGCCCTCATTCCATCCATTCATAATCCACCGTAGGAGATTCAATCACACAATTTCATGCTTTTTCTAAGTCCAGTTTTGGTTTGAATTACATCAAAAGTTATTTTGCAAAGTCACCTGAACATGCTTTCTAACATCAATGCTCTCATATAAACAGTTTCAATAAGTGTCAGTTACACACAAGAGCTCTCAGTGGATGTTACAAACAGTAATTAGCTACTGGGTAAATCTACTGGGAAAATGTTGCATGAACATAAATTATGGGCTGTGAAACAAATGGTTTTATTACTTGAACATGTGTAGACCCAACATAAAATTCACATGTAGAACTTTCTGGACAAGCTGTCAGAGATCTCCTTTAAGAATATTTTAAAAAATTAATAATATGTTTAAAACACGTTTTTTAAAAATGCGATCAAATTTCAATATGATCATCATGGAATGATTTAGTCACAGCATGCTGACACATTCCCCTTTGTTACATCACATCATTACAGAGTGATCTTTACATCATGCAGCCTTCAATCGGCATTAAAAAATGTGAAAATTAAAAGAACAGGAATGAGGGTATTGTGCATTTCATTGAATCAAATGAAATTACCCTTGAAATGCACCAAGGATCACCTACTAAATACTTTCCAAGGAATATATTACACAAGTGTCTAAGAGGGGAGAATACACTATGAAAGTTTAATAGTTCTAAAAAAAAAAAAAAGGGGGGGGGGGGGTCATAAAGTGTTCCATGTCTTTATTTTCATTTAAAACCGTTTCACCAGTATTGCCTCGTTTTAATCCAAATTCCTCTATGCTATGTGTTAAAAGGTTTGACCATGACAGACAGGGATTGGGGTGTCAGGGGAAATAATAATTACAGAAAAAAAAGGAGAGGGAGAAAACCTTTAGAACGGTGGGCTATTGAGCCATTAGGAGGAGTACCTGTCAAAGCTTCTGTGGCTGCCAGCTGGGGAAAAGCAGGCATATAAAGCCAAGATTCTGCAAAAAGGAGCCCTAATGGTGATAGCTTCAATATGAGACCTTTTCTCTGAGGTGACAAGTACCTCCACACACCACACCTTCACAAAACTGAGTTCCTCACAGTTGAGAGACTCTGCTGCTGACATTTATTGGTCAGGAGCCCTGGCTGTGCAGCAGATCGTGAGAATAACTACCGTTGCGACGTGCAATAAATGCAGCTCACGGCGTGATTTATGTTGTCTGCTCGAGGTGGAAGGAGGGAAATTAGACAGGAGGAAATTGTGACAGGAGCATGACCCCACCGAAACCAAACCGATTCATTTCACGAAGAGGAAAGAAGTGCTTCCATTGTAAACTCACATCTGTAAAAAAAAAAAAGCAAAGAAAAGGCTATGGTAATATTCACATGTGTCCTGTTCTATATCAGGCGAATGCATACAGTGAACGGATTGTTGTGAGTAGTTTGTCTTAAGACCTGCTATGATTTGCTGCAAATGAGCAGGCACTGAATAGCTGGTCGTTAACCTGTCATCAGGATGATTCAGACACCTGATGTATGCACGTGCTTAGTGCACTCCCACTGTCCAGGATGGCCAAGAAGAAGAGCATAGACATGACAAAGATACACACAGAACAGGCATCAACAGGCCTGCAGAAACTTTCTAATAGGCACCTCAAAAATTGTGGCTGCTTTCATCTCATCTTTTCCTGCTAGCTTACGCACACACCTGCAGAGCCTCCCACTATGTTTGGGTTTTCTGGGCCACTTGTTTTCAGAGAAGCTGGCTCGCAGGGAATAAAAGATAGATAAGAGACATTTGCTAATGGGCCTGATGAATGTGTGAGAGGCAGGAAGACCACACGGCCAGGTACAGATGAGATCTTAAATAGCGTGACGAAGAATGGAGATTAACAGTCGATACGGTTTGCCCTCAGGGGATCTAAAGCAAGGCGATATATCTACACACACCGTTAAACTGCCAATAACGCTTAGGAAGATACCTGGATCCAATAAACACAGGAATGTGTGAAAAATTCAATAAATTAAACACGTGCTTCTGATCTAATCAACACCCATACACCAATCAGTCACAGCATTGAAAACACCTGGTCATCCTGTGGAGGACCCCCTCATGTCACCAAAGCAGCTCTGATCTTCTGCGGTGTGGACTTCACAAGACCTCTGAAGGTGTCCTGTGGTATCAGGCACCGATACATTTCTACCAGATCCATTAAGTCCTGTAAATTGTGAGCTGAGGCCTCCGTGGATTGGGCTTGTTTATCCAGCACATCCCACAGACGGACCATAGGATTGAGGTCTGGGGAATTTGGAGGCCAAGTCAACACCTTTAACACTTTGTCATGTTCCTCAAAGCATTCCTGAAGAGTGAAAGGGTGAACGAGTCCACCATTAGAGAATGCCTTTGCCATGACGGGGCGTCTGTGGCGCACAGCGATATATGGCTAACCAGCTCGGGTCATGGTTACGTCAACATGAGCGTCAATGTGCAAGATTTGCTGGAAGAGAGTTTCTCAGAGAGGATAACTCGGCGCCAGATGAAGCAAACTAATATATATAGCTTTCATAAATAAGAGTCACAGAAGCGTTCTTAAGGGAATGGATCAAACAGGCCAACCTTCCATCTCTATGCCATCCAGTGAGCATCAATTACTCATGACCCTGTCACCAGTCCATTGGTCTTCCAACATTTTTAGGTGTTACTGAGCATCTCATTATAACAGTTGCCATTTTGGAGGTTTGTGGTTCTACCTTAATGTAGCCAATGTAATAAGTTGTTAATGTTGCAGGTTTTTTTTCTATTTACTGAAAGTCAGATTTAACTCCCTGAAAGGTGTCGCTGCAGTGACGTAATCAGTGCCACTTACAGAGCCTGGAAAGTGTTCTTATGTTCTGGCTGATGAATCTAAACATCTGGCTACTTCCATCATTTGTGTTTTTTACAGGACAGCGAAAAATGTACAAACAAAAATATAATTAAAAAAAAAAAGATAAGAATTCATTTAACTTCTTTTCAATACAATCACTTCATTTTCAAAAGTAAAAGATGAAATCAGATTAAACAAAAATGTATGGTCCCAATCCAAAAGTGATCTGAAACAACATCCTCATTTTCTGTCTGTAACTTGCAGTCAGTTTTTCCACTCATGAAATAGACAAATGGATTTGGGAAGATTTGAAGAGTCTAACCGCCAGCTAGAAGAAAAGCAGAGTAAAACAACATATGGCTTTTGGCTTTTGAATTACAAGTATGGGAAAAAACAACAAGACTGAAGAACAGCCTATTTCTGTGAAAATATCTTTTTTAAAACCTGCTAAAGGTATTATTTCTAGTGTTAATAAGCACCTGTCCAGTCAGGAAAACGGCCATGAAAGAGCTGGGAAGCAGTATAAAGCAGAGAGTTCTTTTAGCTGCAGACTGAGTGGTGACAGCTAAAAAGGCAGAGGATTAACAGGCATTTTTTAAACTCGTAGCACAAAGGAAACCTCTCCCAGAGTCCATATTAGTGCTCTCTTATTACGTGTGAGTGTGTTTCTATGAGCATACGTGCTAATCATTAACATTAAGTTGCTCGGTGAGGTGCTCTCCCCTCTGGCCAAACAGTGAGCTGAGCTCACAGATGAAGAAACACAAAGAAAAAAGCATTGTTGTTACTTGTATTTGAAAATCTTGGTTGGAACAAGTTTAATTTGCTGCATTAAAACTGTCAGGATGAATTTCTTTAACTTTTAAAAATGAAGCCCGTATTTTGATGTGGTCACTATTAAGGAATTTCAATTCATTCACGAGCAGTAAAGCGTTCCTGAGGTGGTGATGTCACCCTACATTACGTTAGCCACAAAGATGCTGCAGCAGAGAAAGAAGAAGAAGACACGCACAAAAGAAGACAGGAAAATGTCAAATCTAAAACACAACATAGTGATGAAACAGCTATGAGAGTTTTCCTTTAATATCTCATGACTCAACTCTACTCACCACATTTTAAGGTCTCTTTAAAAAAACAAAAAAGATGGCCAATGGCCACAAGGATTTAGTCTGCAAAGTTACATCTGGACAAAGCACAAGACCAAAGTGGAGATGTTTGGTCAGAATTCACAGAAACCAAATTCACACAGCGCACAGAAGCTGTCAGCATGGCGGGAGAGGAATGATGATTTGGGCTGGTTCTGCAGTATCATGACCTGTGAAGTAGTTGGTTCAAAGTCCAGACCTCATTTTAAGATCTGTTAAGGGCCAGATACACTTTATCTCAATATTTAAGATCCTAGAATCGAAGGAAATGCAACTCTTCCGCAACAGAACATGTGCGATTGCTGTATTTGTCAAGCTACATTAACACCACTTTTTTATCTTGTTCTAAAAAGTAACCGTAGCAGAGAAGAACAATCCTCATCTCGTCAGACATCAAAGGCCCGACCTGCAGACTTCACAGGGTTAACTAAGTTACTGCAGAGCGCAAACATTCTTGTTTAACTGGCCTGAAACAAACGGCACAGACCACAGCCCGAGGTTTTATAGTTTGCACATTGTGTTTGTGTTGAGCGACTCCAAGTCCTCTGACCAGGACTTTGATTCATGTTTTTGCCAGCAAGGACACTCTTTTGCACTCTCTAATGTGCATTAAAAACAGGGCACACAGCCTCTTCCAAGTGTCCGGAACAAAACTAATGTCCGAAAGCGACAAAATGTGAAGCCTATGCTAGAAAAACTCAAATCCATCAGCAGTGTTCAACATCTACAAAATGTGAAAACTGGTTTATTTCATTCATGAACAGGTCTTTAACTTACCTTTTCCAGAATTTGTGACATTTCAACTATATTACAACTATATTCAGATGGGCCCATGAGGAGATGCTGATAATAACTGACAGTATAAAAGCACTCTGTGCTTTATGCAGCATAAACAGAGCAGCTGGACTGTCACAACCACATTTCCATCCCCTTTACTTACAATCAGTAGCTGCAGTGAAATCACTTGTGGAAAATAATGAAAAGGGTTGGTGGATTTGATGGAATTAGTTGCACATGTTTGAGCCATGATGTTGAGTCTTCTAACATAACACCATGGGAGACAGCTAAATGACTTACAGAAGTTTCATTACTTTTGCCACTTTCTTCTCTTCTGTTCCTGTTAGCTCTAGCAGTAGCATTGGAGGTTAAATGAGCGTATCAGAACACTTAGCTCTGCCGATTGTTTGCGGTTGTTTTTATGCACATGATGTTTGCATGCGTGCAGAGAGGAGGTCGGCATCCATGAGGCAGACCTCCATTTCCGTTTAGGGGGCAGTGAAAGCTGATTTGTGCGAGGCTGTGTGGTTTCAATCTGCTGCTGCCCGGTTTACCTTTCTTTTGCAGCTGTGCCCTCTCCTTCTGTCTGATGTCTATTTCCCTGCCGAGCGCCTTCCTCTGCCGCTGCAGCTCACTGCGGAGCACAGCTATCCGCAGATACATGCACTCCCGCTCCTTTTTCTGCTCAAAGAAAAAAAGAAAGAAAACAATAGAGGAAACAGAGACAGAGGATGAGAGAAAATATTCAGCATGTGGTCACAGCAAGATTCAGAGTTTATTACTTTTTGTGTAGACCCCAAAATTCTTCTTAGCTATTTCAGAGACAAGCTTTGTTTTCACAAACTGATCCCACGTCTCAATGATTTAATGCACATCCACTGAGGGGTGTAAATAATCCTAAACGTACTGTCAACAACTAATGACAAGAGAGAGGGAAAATGAGTTGACTATTCGAAACAGGTCCACGAGTCCTGAGATCAGCGTTACTGGTGAGACTCCGGTAAATGAGCTCCAGCCGTGGGAACGGCTGGCTGCACGTTAAGTGCTGTGAGTTCCGGCTTTTGACATTTAAACAGGTGATCCGGTAAGATGTGAGACCAAGAGACTCAGGGTCAAAGCTGGATTTTGCATCTTCCAGTGTCTTTATGAACAATGGCATTTCCATTTGACCCCTTTCAATGTGACAGGATAAGCATCGGTCCAGAAAATTCTCTTGGTTCTTCCGTAAATTAGTTTCTATCAAAAGGTTTTCTTAGTTAAAGTATCCCATCATCTAGGTAACTTTGATTTCTGCCTGTAATTCTCTCTGAATTCTGTTAAAAATACACTACTTATCCAATCAAAAGCCCCACTGCTGGACAGAAGACTTGAGGCGACTCACACAATCAGGCTGTTGATGCTTTTGGTAGATAACACTGATTTCCATCTGAATGTTTGTGTCTATTCCGGCTATTTTCTGCTTCTTTTTTTTTTTTCTTGTCTTTTCCTTTTTTTCTTTTCTTTTTTTTTTAGTTTTCTCCCATTTCTGAGGGCTTTTTGAATAAAAAAAAATCAAGGTTAATGAAAAACAACCCTTACGATACAGTTGTGTTTCTTAAGACGGTGGCGCTGCAGAATCAGCTCCTAACAGGTTCAAACAAACTTATTTTCTTTCCTGATTAATTAACTTAACGTGTTAGTGAACTGTGCTTTGTTTCTACCACGCCGTTTTATTATATGGACATTTCCATGAATATAATGAAGGAGAGACTTTTGTCTTAGCACAATCTGGAAAAAGGGGAATCCAACACCCTTACCTTAAACCTGCCAAGACAGGCAGGTGTAAACACAAGGCGCTTTTAAACTGATGCAGACAGAGACTTTATCAGCACCTTATCACAGGAAAGAATGTGCTCTGAGTGGCAGCAGAGGAAGTAGGAAATACATGCAATGGAAAAATTGGAGTTGGTAGCTTGTGGTTTGATTTTGTGGATCAGCTGAGATAACAGGAGTTACATAACGGCATGACGCTGGTTATGTGTTAGGAGATGCATTTCTGTCTGAAGGCCATGGCACATATTAATGAGCTCAAACATTGAGAGAAAAACACTAAATTCTGAGTCTTCCTCTATCTTTCTGTGGGTTGAAGCTCCATCAGGCTTCGTGGCTTTATCTTTATCTTTTAGGGAGGGGGCCTGATTGAGAAGACCAAGTATCTAATAAGGAACTCTGCAAAGCTTTACAGACAGACTGGTGTGGAAAAAGCCACATGAAGGGGAGACAGAAATTAGGTACCTTAAAAGACACAAAGATAGAAATAATGAGAATAATAATCACACTAATGGCAAATAAATGCTTCTGTAATGTAAGTTTGAAGATGAAACCGTTATTCAGTGATAAATGATGAGGACTTTCATGCTCAGAGGTTTTTATTTGTCGTGTGAGCACCTGGCAGGCTGGGACTCTGCCGTCTCCCTCACACACACACAGGCCGCGCACTTTGATAGCGATCGTAGCGTGAATCTGACTAAACCGATATGGCTCTCCTTGAAGTTTTCTGAGGGCTTTGAGCAAAGAACAGAGGGTGGAATCCCTAACAGAGAGACGACTGATAGAGCCTCCATCTCCAGCGTGTCGCACCCTGATACTTGCATGTTAACCACCGCTGGCTTTGGCACGAACCACGAACCTCCTACACTTTCACTGAGAAGCAAAGTTGACAAGTGGGTCACAGGCATGCGAGTGTGAGAGAGACTGAAAGCCACCACCAGTGTCTGTCAGACTCCAACCCAACATCAAACAGCAGTGGGTCAGCTGAGTAAATAAGCAGCAGGCGTGAGGGGGTGAGGGCGGGGGCACGTTATAACCCAGCAGATTAATGGTAGAGAGTGGGTGAGAGGGTGAAAGGGCCGTGTGGTGGGGTTGGTGGGTTCCACTTTGCCTCCCTTTGATCCAGGCTCACTATGATGTGCACATAAGGATACTACAGAGCTTTGAGAAGGCGGGAACCCTTAGAAGAGCCTAACAATGCTTCACTCACTCCAACTCGCCGGGCTCTCAGAGAAAGGTAGAAGACGAGGATTATGTGATTTATTAGCTGATTTGAGCCCTGAAAAGGGTTTTAGGGAAGGTTTCGCTGAGGGAGAAATATCAGAGACAGGTTTTTGAAAGGTGTCCTTTGTAGCTTAAAGAAAGGAGCCTCCATGTTTTAGTGGGAAAGCTCCGGCCAGTGGGGCAGCTTTAATGGGTAGGGTGAAAGTCTGGAAAGGGGAACAAAAAAAAGGAGGCATATCAAAAGCTGATGGAGGGCATGAGGGAAAGCAACAGCTGGAACAGCTGCTTTAAGAGGCTCACCTCAGAGGGACTTTGCATTAGCACATAGAAACTTTTAAAGATTTGACATTTTCAGTGGACACAAAAATCCCAGCTGTGAAACCCTACCCCCCCCCCCCATTCTGTAAGGCATGTAATTCTCTAGATTTTTTTAACTGCAGGAGAGGAGCAGCTCAGCAACAATGCCTCAGGGATTTTAGGACTTTTATAACAGCAGAAAATACGGGAAGCTTTTGAAGTGAATATTTACAATAAACATCAAGTGGAACCTGGGATCACTGCCCCGCTTTCACAGCTGTGTGGCTGCCCATTCCAAAAATGTTAAATATGCTTTCGGGATTTCGCTGTGGATCCTACTTGAGGATATGACAGGCGGTGGACACATAAACAGGGGATTCTGGTCCAAGCGTTATCACTCAGGCAGTGGGATATTGCTCTGGGTTCCGTCTTCAGCTGAGCCTGGAAAACATTCAGTAGCTGCCTAAAGGCTAAAATCATATCTCACTTTGCTTTATTATACAATTACATCTTTGACTCTGAGCGGTAGAAGCTTTAAATCCGGGTAGGTATCAAGCACTAATCTGAAGATGCTTATTATTGGAGGAAAAAGCAGGAGGCAATCACTGCTTTGTGGTGTTAATTGTGCTCTTAAAACACATTCAATCTTAAAAAGCATGAAGCCACGCTTTTCATTTAAGCTTTTCACTTTTTCTGCGTAGCAGAAGTTGATGAAATAACAATGCAAACAGCTACTGAAAATAAGCAATCAAGCCTTGCAAAGGTTTACCACTGAGGCAGCGGGGAAATGGCTCTCTCCAGCCCTCAGCCGGGACATGAAAGCAAACAAGATTCAAATGCCGTTCAAAGGCTGTAATGATATATCATAGCTTAATGGTACAATTACAGACATGGCTCTGGGTGATAAAATCTTTCAGCCTTAGTAAGTATTAAAAGGAGTAACACAGTGTGCTGATGCTTATTATTAGAGGAGAAACTAGCAGGCCTGCTATTGCTGTTTGTAGCGATTACTGCTCCTTAGAGTTAAAGTTCTATGAAAACACTTCTGTAAAATCATATAAATCTGCATGTTTTCTCAAAACACAAAATCCATTTTAACTTTTCATATTTGCTGTAAGCTGACTGAATAATGCTGACAGCTTTCCTGCAGTGCTGGTGATTAGAAGTTGCTGATGAGCTGGAATTTGCTGCTGGAGGGCAGCTGTGCTCACCCGCTCTGTGCAGGCCGCCGTCGTCCTCAGTTTCTCCTCGATCTCCTTCCCAGTCCTCTGCACTGTCACCTGTGTCTGTTTGATGGCTCTCTGTGCTGTGTGGAGCCTGCAGGGCGACAGAGGGGAGAAAAAAAACAGAAACAAAGTCACAATCTTCACAATTTCACAACCACACACCGGACCACAAAAACAACTCAAAACCTAAACAGCCTTTCCAAGAGATCATTAAACTGATCAGCTGAATGAAAACTGAGTCAGTTAGGAGTTCACGAGCACTTCATTGTACTCAGTTTGGATGTTTATTCTGAGCATTTATACGAGACGATATGAATTATGATTGTTTCCATGTGTGTGTGCTGTGTGTTTGTTATCCCTCTTTGCTTCTTTTTCTGCCGACGTTAATCAGGAGTTTTGACATTAAATAATGGGCAAAAACAACAATGAGAACGTTTCCAATATCGAAACTCTGCAGTTGAGAACAGACGGATTAAGCCTCGAAATAGCACAAATGAAAACAAGAGCTGAATCCCTACTGTTTGTCTAATGATTTAATTGCAGTTTTGCATGGGATCAATTGTTGTCCAACAGACCTGAACCCATCAGTTCCAGAAAGCAAAGCCCCTCAAAAAGCCCACTGATTAAGCAAAGCCACGAATACGGAGGCCTCTTTCCAAATTCCATGTCACTGTCATCACCAAAATAGGAACCAGCAACTTCAGTACACAAATGACAACCAAACACATCATTTAGACAATCAATCACAGGAGCGGTTAACTTTCCTGAATGTTTGCTTCATGTCCAGAGCACATCGAAAGATAGACAAAACCTTCTCAGCACAACACCCGGAGCTAAGCTCACTCCATCCACGAGGACCAGTCCCAGATGGTGGGAATGAGTTACCGGACACAGTAAAAAAAAAAAAGAAAAAAGAAAAAGAAATCACCCACTGATTTCCTATCGTCTACAGAACTGTCGGGCCCAGATGGATTATCTCCATTGAGAGCTGTCCCTGAATGACCTGCTCTCACATCGTTTGCACCAAGTTAACTTAGAAGTATTGATCTGAAAGTCCAAAAACCTTTTCTTTTTTTTCCAAAAACACCTGGAAACTTTGCCTGCTTCTCTTGCTAAGCTGACAAATGTTCACCTTTCCAGAGGAAGCCAACCAAAAAGTTTAGTTTGATGAGATTTTATCCCACTCAAACAGACACTTTCACACAGAAGACGTGAGAAAAGTACAGCTTCTGAAAATAAACTGCTGTTTTATCTGTTGATGGCCGATTATGCAGGCTCACTTCTGGTAAAGTCCATAAGAAAAAGGAGAAATTGGACACTGCGATTACTGCAGGCAGGAAGTGGGGATTGTGGTTTGGGTCATAAGGGCAATGTGAATAGGGTTTGCTTTTAAGTATTTGCTTGCTTTTAGTCTTCAAGAAATTGCCTCTTGAGTGGGTTTAGTGTTCGAGGCTCGTCTTAACGGGCTAGCAGCTTGGTTGGCTCATTTTACAAATCCTAAAGGGCTTTTCCTTATGAAACTCTTTGATTATTGCCACCTCCTTCAGACAGCCAATCCAGAAAAAAAACGTTTCTAAGACGATATAGACCAAGCTGGAGTAGACAAGACCATCATTTTGTGTTTTGGACCCACATTTGATAATCTGTCTGAGGTGACAGCGATAGCATTCAGAGATAGTCTTCTGGAACATCGGGGCAAATCTGTTGTGACAGCTTCATCTGTTCGGCTGATTGAGATGGGAGATTCTGATACAGCTTTTTCCCTTGGGGTAAAGTAGTTATCTTTTCTCTGCTTTTTCACGCATGTCTGCTCCCTTATCAGCCGCTGAGCTTTGGCCTAATGCCGGCCCATTGCTACAAGCTGTGGAGCAGCACGGGCCGGGGGGGGGATCCCATGGAGGCAGAGCGGGACAACCAACAAAAAAGCACCAACTTTCTCCAGAAGGGTAATGTGCCTCTCATGCCACAGATTTTCAGGAAGTTATGGCTGAGGCCGTGCACTCAACCCTTGATCCTGATAAGCATCACGCAAACAATAACATTTGGTCCTTCAGTCTCAGAACTGCTTTCTGCAGGGGTGTCGGATCGGGTTATGCTTTTTATAAACAGAAAACATCTTGTTGAGGTCTTCAGGGACTCTTATGGACACAGTTAAACCTCCATTGGTCAGATCAGGAAAAAATTAACTAAGAGACTGAACAGAAGAGGAGCAGAAGACTTTTTTTATATGTCAATTTACCTTAACTGATTACCAAGATCTAAATATTTGCAGTGGTTTGTTTGCCTGGTCCAGCATCTGCAGTTTCTGATATCACGACAGAGAAAGAATCAGTAAATACAGATGTGATATTTGGCTTCCAGAGAAGAATCAGAAGATGAGAGAGTGCACATTTTGTCTTCTAAAGGAACGAGAGAGTCTGGCACATCGTAAGGCTGCAGTTCATCTAGCTGGAGAGCTGAATGATATGATCTCACATTATTATACAGCTTGTCTGAGGAATTATGGCATGTGTGCTTTGCTTATCTTATACTTCCTCATAATATTTTAAAGAAAAACTCAAAACTGAAGTCGCCCAACAGTTTATAATTACATATATAAATATCCACCACAGCTTATGAGATATATTCACATTTCCAAAAATTAGAACCTCTCTGCAATACTTTAAAGTTTTAATTATCTTCACCAAAAAATCTAAGTAAAATTTCTGTCATTCAAAAAAATGATACATCCATTCACTTTCTATAGCGTTAATTCCCAGCAGGGTGAAGGTGGTGAGCCCAACCCGGCTTCCCTGGGTAAGAGGCTGGTACGACCTGGACTAGTCAGAAAGTAATATGACTAAAGAAAAAATAAGTATTTACAGCCTTAAATGGACGCTAATGGTTTGATTATGTCCATCAACAATGTGAGCAAAACACATCTTTAATATCATAATTATAAATATACATTGTGTATCATCAATAACATACAGACAAAAATATAATGAGTTTCATACTGCTCTATTTGTAACATTTTAACCACATTGGTGTTTGCTGAAAGCAAAGTTTGTTATTTATCTTTGTGATCAAATGTCTGAGAAAAGAAACATGCCAAACCAGCAGGTCCTTTCTGAGAGTCAAAAAATAGATATCTGCCACTCCTCATGTCAATAACCATCCTATCAACGCTCAAGTAAGTGTTCAACCGGCTCATGACTGGAAAGTGACGCTTCATTAGTGAGGACAAAAGGTGGCCTGACAAGGCAAAATAACAACTTACACCTCCTGAGGACTGCAGAGGGCACGCAGCATGTCGGGGATCTGTCTGGACACGCAGAGAGCGCTTGAACTGTCACCCTCAAAACACTGAGCTACCAAAGCTGGGAGCAAATAAAGATCATCTTAAAGGATGCTCGTCTCAGCTGGAAAACTTGAAACCACGAAGATGTGGACCGCAGACATGAGAATCTGGACAGGACTCAGGGAGAAATGAAAGTAACTAACTCTAAGCGTTTATCAAAGGCTGAATACCTGGCTTCAATTGAATATAGAAGCCATAAGAGTTTCCCACTTCATTGTGGTCTCCAATAAGCTTTTTCCTGCAATCGTTCCTTAATTTAGAGTTAAAGGAATCAGGGTTACAACAGCACATTATTAGTGTGATTTAGGCATCCATGAAAATATCAATAGTTATTTCATGCAAAAACACTCTTTCTCTCTAAATGTTTTTAAAGTTAGAAAGTTGCACAAACCCTCATCCACGGTCTGCTAAGCCTCATTCACACAGGATATAAATAGGAGATTCTGAATACTTAATTCGTCTTCGGTTTGCCAGCTTAATGTATGATTAAGATGTCCACCCATTGCTGACACAGACACTTCTGCTAGTCCCTTTTACCCCTCTTTATCTTTTAAGAAAAGCTTTTTTTTTTTATCTTTTGATGGCAAGATTTTTTGGCTTTCTTGTGATTTCCTGCCATTCAAACTTTCTGCATTCATTAAGACAGGTGTCTTTTCTGGCAAAAGTGGGCGTATCATGAGCACACCCATCTGTCTTTTCACATTGCATGCCTTCCTTCTCTGCAGCTTTATGTGATTTTCAACTTTTTAACTGTTCTTGCTGCTTATTTTGTCAGCTGGTCTATGCATAGGTGCATTTTATTATCAGCTGGGGTGTTTTTTCAGCTCTATTTTGTTTGCTTAAATTCACAAGTTTCTCTTTTCAGAGTGTCACTCATGGCGTGAGTCCACTTGTTTGTCTCATGTAAGCCAAGCCCAATGTGTTTCCCAAACAATCCGGTTTCTAAGGAGAAAGTTTAACAGACTAATGGCTGCACCAACCTCATTTCAAGCAGCCGTTATTCACACAGCATTGGGAGAACAGGGCAGCCAATTGACCAATTCAAAACAACGGAGGGATAATACACCCCTTAACACTTCTTCCGGGAACACAACGGACAACACAACAGTAGATAATCACAACAAACACCACTTCTAAATTCAGTCTATGTCTCACTGCAAAAGAATGTCAACACATCTTACTACTTGCTATTCACATCACCTCACCATTGTCTCCGTCCACAGGGAATGAAAGATAAGATTACTGCAGTGAAGTTTCTTTGGCAAGCCTGCATGTGCTCCTCTACTCCTCCAGGCTGGTGTTTTTGTAGTGATGGGCTAACTTGCTATAAGCCATGTTTGCAGGAAAACTACAGCAAAGATACAGGCAAGGCGAGGAGATCTCAGGTGAGATATGTTGAGTCTTGAAAGGGTCAGAGATGGGTCATGCACTTAGCTAATGACAGATAATTATAGATTTTTGGATCCTCATGATAACGGTGCCTCACACGGCACTGTCAAACTGTCCGGTACTGTGTTATTAAGGCACCATGTGCAATAAGACCAACATTTGAAAATGAACAGTACATTTTTTGTAAAAAGCCAGAAAATAAAAGTACATGTGTGAACTTTGGCCTTGTACTGAGTATACTTTTAGAAGAGGGAATAGCAGCAAGCCCCTTGGAGCTGGTGGAGCAGCTTCACTACTGAAGTAAAAATAAAACACAGTGTAAATGTTTCACCAACGCATGTCAGTGGAACTGGACAAAATGGAAAAATAAGTTTTTCATTTTGAGATATGAAATACCAGGGTGATGATAGAACTCCCCAAAATCATCTCAACTCATCTTAAAAGTCATGTTTATATGTGCTTGAAAGCAGTTTTGGCCTGCTCTAGCGGTGTGAAATGAGAGCAGGAAAACCTACACCTCCACAGCAATTTTAAGATCATGCAGCCATGTTTGTGTGTCTGTCAGTGGAGACCCCAGGGTCATCCACACGCTCAAATCAAGACCATTCTGTGGCTCAGTGCATCCAACCAGCAGGCGGGTGAACCTCAGGGAAGCAGTCTCAGGAGCCAGGAGACCTCCCATAGAGCCATGCCGCCACTACACTCAGCTCCTGTTGACGCTGTACTTATAGAAATACCTCACATAGGAGCATACACAAGCAAATCAGGAAAACACAGACAGCATATGGCTCTGATCACAAGAAAAGAAAAAGAAAGTTTCACCTAAAGGCTCCATGAGTTTGAGACACTGAACCGTGAAAGCTCTGCCCCAAGAATGATGTTTCCCATGTGTCACTGGGTCCACTGTTTTCATATTCACCGCACACGTTGGGTTTGTTCCCATTAAAAAGGCCAGTCAGTGTCTTCAACCTTCACAGAGTTGTGAGCACCACTCAAATTCCACTTCAGTCTGCCATTTAAGCAAACAACATGCCATGAGAGATTACTGTGGACAGTTATAAACGGAGACTGCAACCCGCTCTGTCTCTCCATCTGCCTCCACTTTCTGTTAATACCCAACAAGCCTGTTCTGAGGCTCAACGTGAGCTACTAGCTTCCACCAGCTCGTCCTTGCTGTCTTATTGTTCACACATCAAGCCGTACCCTGCAAAGTGTTAAAGAAAATGCAAAAAAACAGCTTTTGCTGAGCAGCTGGATCATCTTCGTCACTGTCTGCTTTGACTTTTCATACTACCCGCACAGGGGCCCATCTCTGTGGAGGATGTGGCCTGCCCTCCGCCCCAGCCTCTGAGATTGATGAGCTGTACGCTCCCTCTTCATCTCACCATCTGAGACGTGTCGTATTTGCGAGCCCACATCATGATGTTTCATGAGCTGAGGGTGTCATCAAGTGGATCGGCGCTGAAAAGCAGACCGAATCCGCAGACAAATTACCGTGATTTATCAAGATTGGTGTGTCCTTAGCAGCTCTCATCTTTTTCCATTAAAGTTCTGTGCTAAGGAAGATGTTTTGCACTTAGACAAGGAAGAGTGGGAAGGAGACGGGTGAGAGTCTGACACTGTGGGTGTCCCCTACAGGCATACATCACTGTTGTTGGAGGGGGAAAAAAGACATTGCACCATGAAAACGATGATCCTGAAAGAGAACACTATTGTTCATCCCACTTTAACAAATGGTGCAACATCACTAATGCAGCGTACTGCAAGACATATACACATCCATGTGCAGCGCTCCACCAAATGCTTCATAAAGTTAGTGCACCTTGAAGAATGACAAGCTCTGAGGGTCAGAACCTAAGTGCATGCGGTTATGAACCACTGGGAGTCGGGTAGAATCTAACCCCTGCTGGAGTGTACGATATCTAATTAATCATGGTGAAGCGCATAATCATAAACCATGCACACGTTAGTGCACTAAGCCACGCAAAAACTCTGACAGGGGTGAGGACCTGCAGGCAGCAGTGTGAGTGTGTTCAACTCCACAGAGAGAGAAGAGGATGTGAAGGAAAGCTGCAATAATACAAAAAGTAGGAGCAGAGGTCATAAAAGTTATGGCTCAAACTTTGCTTTTTCTCCTCCGAGCTGCTGGGGAGGCAACGGTCTCCTCTCATACAAACATAAACCATGACCACGTCTTGAATGGGGGTGTGCTGTTAAAGTTCAGCTGGCTTTGGCACAACTCCTTTTCCTTGATACTGTAAAGTCCTGTGACGCAAAGCTGACCCCCCTTAAGAGGGAAAATGTTGGTGGAAACTTCCCTAATGAACAGATTCTCATCCCTTCTTGGAAATATCTAAACTGATCCTTCCTGATGTATACAGATTTAGGCTAAAGGGGCTGTAATTATGCATTCGGGCTTCGGGTTAACGAGGGTTTCCCTTGGGGGAAGCCCTGGTGGCTCTGAAAGTGGCGTTTACGTTGTGCCACATCTAAGTTTAGATTCAAAATGGCAAACTTGTGTTTGTCAACAAATGCTGGCATCCTCCTCTGTCTCGCCCTCTCGTGGCGTACAGCGGTACACTTTTTCCCTCTGTTTACTTCAACACGTGCTTCACTTCAGCTCTCAACTCAAAGTTTGACACTGGTGTATTGATAAAGTGGCTGCAGTGTTTGGAAAATGCATTCAGTTTTGTCCAAGAAACACAACACTGGCTGGATGTTTTGTGAGCTCATGCGGAGTTGGAAGGCCGAACGGGTTTCTGTGAAAAAGGCCCCATAAATTTGGCTTTCATTTGGCACCACCTGCTGGAAGATGTGTGCCCCAGACAAACACATCAAATGCAGATATCAGAGAGGGAAGTTAAATTACAGCAATTGTCTATAAATTAAATACAGAACGTCCTAGAAAACAATCAAGTTGTCGTTTTGTGAACAAATAAAGGGTAAAATTATTTGAAATTTTCTTAAATCTGCAGCATTTTGATGATGCGATAAATCTGAGAACTCAGAGTTAATGAAATTATATGAGGCAGGACCGCAGGGCGGTATGAATCTTACCTGAGCAAAGAAAAAACACTGTAGGAGTTCCTGACTGAACTCTGGTCGACCTGAAGCAGGCTGTAATTCTTCCGCTCCGACTGATCCTGAAACAGCCACATGTCATTGCTTCAGTGCGGAAGCCAAGTGGTGTCCAAACATCTAATGAGATTATGGTTTCGTAGTCCATCATGATGAGGACGCTTTGGAAAACAGACAAGAATCTCTACCTTTTGATCGAAGTCAGCTGCATAGTAGCCATCATTCAATCCAAATATGATCTCATTTGGATTTCTGGATCGAATCTGTGGACGAAACGAGGGGGGTAGAGGATGAATGTAAAGATGAGGAGAACAAAGAGCCGCAGACATCTGGATGTGCATGAAGGGGTGTATCTGTTTATGAGCTTTCAATCCAATCTAGCTGTGAGAAATGGCAAAAGTATTGAATTTCTCGGCATGATTTAAGGCTGATTTCAATGTGCAGAGGTGGACAAAACCCCCGCAAAAGCTAGATTCTGATTTTTTAACACTAAATTGGAAAAATAACTAATTTTAATTGAAATTTTTAATTGGAAACATCACTGGTGTGGTGAGCAGCACCCATTTTACCATGAATCACTTCAAATGTATGAAGCAAATAGATGATTGTATTATACATATATAAATATCTGTGTAAACAATATCAGTAAAATATATCTGTTAACAGCCAACATGAGAGAAATGACAGAGACTTTGTCCCGAATGAAAACCTCACGAACAGAACCGGTAAACAAATCCAGTGAGCATCCATCGGCATCCATCGGTGTAGGAAGGCAGGATTTACAGCAAGGTTAAATAATAACAGAATATGAGAACGCAGGATTTACTACTGTGCAGGATCCGAAAGGAATGTGGGATTTACTGTAGTGGAAAGTGTGGGATTTACAGCCCCATTTCCAAAAATAAAATTAAAAAACGCCGGACACCGTAAAATGAAAATAAAAACAGACTGAGGAGATTTGTAAATCACTGAAACTACCATGTTTGATTCTTGCCCTTTAAGATCATAAACTTCCAGTATATTCTAAAATTGTATAGAGCCACTCTGCAGCTCTGCACTGAAAACAGACACTGCCTGATTAACTGTCCTAGAGATAGAGTTTCACTACCCCCAAACTCACCTGGAAGCAGCCACGCAGACTGGCCTCACCAACCAGCCATGCCTCCACTTCAAACTCATTGAAACAGTCACAAAATATAGGGTGGCTTCCCTTTCAGGCCAATCTCTCTTCTGCTTTTTCTTCAAAACAATGCAACTTTAACTTCTGATTATCGTTATCCTTTCTTAAAATGACGGAATTGACTTTTCTTGCTGTTATTCTACCTAACAGAGTCCAGTGTGTTTGGATGAGCGCCGGCTCTGTTGATATGTGGGACGTCCTGCTCTGGCTTTTTTTTTTTTTTTTTTTACAGAGAACACAGACAGTTGTGGAGAATCTCTGGATTATAGCTCAGGTCGGATTATACCTCCTGACACCGACTCTGACCTCTTGTTCCACTCTCAAAGCTCATACTCAGACATCAGCAAAGCGCTGAAAAGTTTGGTCACACTATGGGCATGTGTGAGTGTGATGAGAGCAACAACTCTATTTTAAATTTTCAAAAGGCCTCTTTAATGTTGGATTTTTATTTTATTTATTATTTATTTATTTTTTTATTTTTTTTATGAACGGTATTTTTCTTCATCTGCTTCTTTAATGGGTTCTCTGTGCATAAACAGCTCAGACAACAAAGTGAACAGAGTTTTCTCTGGCCTTCTGGCCGGTAGCCAAAAATGGCTGACCAACCACATTTAACAGACAGACTGTGTAAAGCCTTTCAGTGAATTTGAAAGCTTATTGATATTCAAAGTTCTTTAGTCCATTAGGAAGCTGATTGGACACCATCCATCCATCCATTTGGTTACAAAGTCAGTCTTAAATGATTTCCAACTTTAACATTACTAATTATTGTTTGTGTTCAGTCTTTATCATTTTCATTTATAACTCAGATTTATAGAAATCAATTCTGTGGGGGTTTTCAGTGTTTTTCCTTTGAATGTTTAATGACATTTTAGTCATTTGTTAAAGTTTACTAAATATATGAACTAGAGAGATCCTTATCAATAATCCTAATTCAATTCTATTACATTTCTGATTGGTGTAAAACCAGACCTTTCCCATGGAGCGGATGCTGACCTGCTGTCCTGTGTATCTGAGGCCATCGAGGTTGACCTTCCACTCAATGAGGAGTTGGTAGTGTTCCTCCTGACCCCCCCAGATCCTGACCACAAAGCAAGACAATGAAGTGTCCAGAAGGTCTGGGAGCATGCCAAAGTCCAGGCTCCGCCACGTAGGATTCTAACACACACAAACACACACAAAAACAGGACTTGTCATGAGGATATCAACACATAGACCTGAGCCGAATCAGAACTGATCAGCACAAGCCTGGTTTATCTGATTTTGGTGCCGATCTAACATTCAGGAGCAAAATGATAATTAGGGGATGAAGCAGCTCTTTTTGTGATATAAATTAAGGCTAAACTCACATCCGGGAGGATGGTGAAGCCGAGAAAAAAACAAAACAAATGAAAAGCACACTGTGATCCTGGAAATGATGAAGTAAAAGTGAGTCGTTTTGTTACACATTAAGCTCAAACTCTGAACCCGACTCCGGTTTGTACTCTGTCCTTGACCTTACAAAAATGCCACCACGATTACTGGATAAACAGCAGAGCACCGAGGTCACTCCTTACATTAAATTAAGCACAAGTTAACTTTATCAGAAAGAAAAATCTACCACTTTCAAGGACAGCCACAGAAATTATGTTAAAACTAAGAGTGCAAAATCCCTGGGAACACAAAATAAAACTAAGTTAAGATTGAAAACAGGAAGATGAACAGGAAAGTGCTCCCTCGAAGAACAATGACTAAAGACAAAGATAGAGTACAGAATGCATGTCAGCAGGCACACTGCGTTCAGCAGGAGGAAGCTGAGCTGGGAGCTGACAGGAATTCGGACTCCTGGAGTGCATTAGGCCTGCCCAGGGTGCTGAACGGCCTGGAGACCCGTTTAGGGCGGCTCATGACTGCAGCAGGCCCCACTGTAAAAGCCTGCTCCCCTTGGCTGCCTCTGCGCTTCGTGCGAGCTGCTTCTGCCACGCAAATGAAGGGCCAAAAAGCCCGTCCTAACATACAGCTGGGTCAATTACGCAGCTACTACAGGCCAAGAGGCAAAGCTGCGAAGGGGGAGCACGCATCACAGTGAATTCATGTCAAGTCTGAGGTCTAACTCCACCCGGAATGTTTTACAGGACATCGTTGCAAAATCAACTTTTTGGAAACCAGCGGGTAAAGAAATCCCTCCTCGCATCAGGACATTTGTTGGGGCATCACACGAAACAAAACCGTCTGCAGGCATGGACATCTTGAACTTATCACAGGAAGAAGAGGGGAAAAGGTTTTAGGTTTGCGTTATGGTACTCACCAATGAGTCCCGAATGACTTCGCTCTTGTAAAAATCTACAAAGACATAAAAGAATGCTGAATAAAACAAAAGCAAAGAACATGCAATCACAACCTATAGGAGTAACTCTACTCTGAGAAGCAGTTCACGGAGGCTTTGGCTTTACTGTGGAAATGTAAACCAGGTTCTGCAGTAGGGCTGCAACTAACGACTATTTTAATAGTCGACTAGTCACCGACTATTGAAACGATTAGTCGACTAATCGAATAGTTATTCACTTTTTCTTAAAAATAGCATAAAGTTGCTTTAGTTAAGTGGAAAATGATAAACACAAGAAAAATGGGTACTTCAATGAAAAATGCATCTTTTATTCAACTTTGCAGCTGATACAAAACGTAAATAAGAATGCGTTTGTCAGGCACAGTCAGGCATAACGTTAAAGCTCTCTTTTAAAGTGAAAAAACGCTTAGAAAATGTATAACGTACATAAAAGACAAAACATATTAGCATTATTGTTGCTTAAATCTTACCGAGGCGAGTCAGACTCCGTTTCATTTAAGTGCCCAACATGCTTTCTTTTTAAATGCTCATGCATCACCGAGGTGCTGCCGTGATACGCAAAGTCTGTTTTGCAAACCTTGCACGTAATTTTTTTACTCGTTGTATCAAGGATAAAATGCTCCCAAACTTTGGAAGTTTTTGTACGCGTGTTGGACGCCGCCATTTCTGTAACCGCGACGCTGTTGTGCAGGTGACTCTGGGCAGATTGTAATTAAGTGAGATGTCTCACTCTGTTGGAAAAACACGTCTGGCGACAATAGTCGACAATGGAATTCATTGTCGACTTTTTCTATCATCGATTTTTGTCGACAACGTCGACGAATCGTTGCAGCCCTATTCTGCAGAACAGCAAAAAAACAATTCTCTGGCGATAAAAAAGCCTGTTGAAAGCTCACACAGAGTGGGATCGGCATGATTAATCCAATCAGGGACGCTTCCCAACAAACACCACTTCAGAGCATTTTCTTCAGAAATTCCTCAGCGAGAGTGACATAAGTCATGTATTCACAGTTTAAGAATAAAGATTTGTGCTTATAATGATCACTTAAACCTAAAAACATGATAAAATTGTATAATAATTCTTTTTTGGGTTGCATAAACTTTTTATCTCCATGTTTAGTTAAAAACGTTTTGAAAACAAATTACACCACACCTCATTTCTATGATGGCCAATTGAAAAAATGACAGAATTATAGAAAGTGTGTTAAAAAATAGTCTGCACAATTCTAGCAGGCCTTTATATTCTTCAACACATCATGAAACCAGTTCTCACTCCTTCAAGCTCCTTAAAGGATGTCCCAAAGCTCGTCTTTGGGTGTTGGCTGATGATCCCACACTGCTTGAAAAACATTGAGCTCTGGGATTTGGGGAGGGCTCATCAGTGAATTTCTGTCCAGTTTTTGTGTCATTTGGCACACTTCAGTCTTCCCTCCCCATTTCACTTCCTTATGAATGGTCCCCCTTCCATGGAGACCAATTCTGCCAGATGCATGTCTCAGGTCATGTGTCTTTTTTTTTTACACCCCCCCCCCGCCTCTTTCTTGAGGATTTAAGACTCAGATACTGTCTTTCAATCACAATGTTTCCTCATATTAAGGCAAAAATGCTTTGGATAAAAGCATAAATGGAAATGACCAGCTAGAAAGTCTGGAGTGAAAGTTTTGAGAGCCTTTCAAAAAGCCAGACAAAAGCACATCATATGAAATCTAGCTCCCTGGAAGCCAAATACAAAGGCAGGAAAAGTTGACTTTTGTGCAATTGTGTAACGATTTGGAGGTGATACTGTCCAGACTGACCTCTAGAAATGCGGTCTCCTACACAGAGGTGGAGGGTGAAGTAAGTGTCCAGCAGCGGAGAACCATTCTTGTTGACAATGTTCCTGGCAGCGATGCTGCGGAGATGACGCAACCGTCTCTGTTTGTGAGGGGGAAAAAAACAGGGAGATGGAGAGAAAGCGAAGGCCCGTTAACAAAAAAGTAAAAGCACAAGAGTTGCTGTATTCAGTTTTTCTTTTGCTACTCTAAGTGCTGATAACACCAAACGCTGGCCCAGTAACTGAAAAGAGACGCCTGTGGAGAGCAGGAAAGTTTACTTTTCACTATTTTTCACACACAGTGACAACACCAGAAGCCTTATGTTCAAGTAACAGCGACATGACTTCTTCATGTCTGAGATAAGCAGCCTGTTAACGAGACAAACAGTCAGTCATGACAATCACATGAGGAAACTTTACAAAGCACAATGAGCCTCCGAGACAAATATGTTTTTCAGACTTCACACAAGCATAAACATGAGAAGAAAAAGCTTTCAGAGGGAAAAACATTTACAGTTAGCATGTGTGCACACAAGGCTAGCAACTCAAGAAGAATTAAAAGTGTAACATCTCAATGTGGAATCAATTAGGCATGTTTTGTGTGTGTGGAGGAAGGAGGTGAAGAGGTAATGCATGGTAACCCCCCATTACATGCAAAGCCACGCAGGCCAGGCCTCTCTCCTGTGGCCATACCGGCTCCAAATCTAAGTCATGGGATTCCCTGTAAGATTACAGAGCTCATGAACAAAAAAACGGATTGTTCCACAGAGGACGGAAAATACCCGTCTTAAAAAAATGTAACTTCACATTTCTGAGAGGGCCAGTGTGAGCCAAAGACACGTAAGATGGGCCTAAAGTGGAGGATGAGCCTGTCAAAAAGGCATCTGCTCACTTATAACAGAAGAATTCAATCTCAAATCCATTTGAAGTAAAAAGCTTTTATATCCGTTATAAATTTGAAAAAACAGTAATTATTTGCGGTATGTGGCAAGAGTGGCAAAGTGATTACATGCTCACATGCCTTGCAGAATATGTGAGGTATGTGATATTTAATTTTTCTAACAAACTGGACAAGAAGAGCTGAAACAAAGTCACTGAAACACAGCTGCATTCAAACCAGATTCCCTCTAAATATGACAACAAAACTAATATGAGAATTTCCATAGATTATTATGAAAAATGTTAATCTCTATGTTTTTTATGTATATTAATTTGTATTGAGGTACCCTTTTCTTCTAGCAGAATGTGCACATACGTTAAACCCAGCATTACATCCCTCTTTTAGAGTTTTGAAACGTAGAATCACATTCTGACTTTTGGGGATTCTGTTAATGTTTTTTTCTACTTTATTGTATATAAAAAGAGGAAAAAGTAAACCTGCTGTCCACACACAGCTGAATGTGGAGGTCAGATGTTAAACGAGCGCTCCTAAAACTAAAGTGGGAAAAAGGTTGTGATATTAACACTTGCCTATTTTGTTGAAGACGTAAGCAGAAATATGCGTTGCATTGCGAGCAAAGAAAATAAATCCCCCTTTCTGCCGCTCACACTGGCATGGTTTATTTAAGTCAGTGTGACACCACATCAATAAAAAACCACAGTGCTATCAGATGTTTGATCTTTTTAGAAAAAATACTGAAATAAATCAAAAAGCTGTGATTGGCCTATACTGAAGAAGATGTTATATTGGTTTTGCAGCCCTAGGATCAATAAGCACAGAAGAGCTGTGGCATTTAAATGGACCGCCAACCTTATATGATTCGATATTACGATGCAATGCTGTTCAAGACACTGTTGCTTCAAAGCCTGTGTGTAAGATCACCGGACACGTCAGATCAGGTTAATTTGCAGTCTACATGTCATCCATTAGTTGCTTAATCTGCGAATCTGTCGGATGATGCTGCAAAATTGGTATTTTAAAACAGAGTGACAGTTGGACTCCGATTCAAAACGTGTTCCTGATTTTTGTTCCAACGTGCGAAATTGTCTGAAGGTTGTTTTATTATGTATTTACTCTTTGCTACTTTAACAAAAACATGCCGGTAAGTCAGTGATTCAATCTCTAACACATTTTGCCCACATGTATTCACTTTCAGGAGCTTGATTTAGTATGTAACAAACATAGTTATACTTTTTTTCCCAGTCATGGTGACTGCAGAATTACACTCTGAGCCTGCATGCTACCAATGGACATTTTTGGATGAAACATTTAGGAATAAGGACTTTTTAAACACCAGTATTTTGCCAGTTGGGAAAAACATCACTTTTTTACTGGTATGTTTTATCATAAAACCCATAGGTGAGCGGATCAAACGTCTGCTTGTTCCAAGGTTTTAAAGAAAGCTATTTCCATTGGCTGTGCTTTGTTCATCACATGACTACACATTAAGCCCGTAATAAAGACACGGGATTGTCACAGCCTTTGGCTTTTATAATAATATCATAGATTAATCATGTGACAGGACAACCATGTTTTAAACCAGCTGTAACTGTATGAAGTCCTGCAAAAATGTTGATCCACTCTCGACATATGCCTCTTTTATTTCTGCTGCTCAGTTGTTAGAAGTGATAAATCTCAATGATGGTCCGAGCAACAACTCAAAAGCATCCACTTGCACTTTAAATGCAATTCCTATTACAAAAAAGATGGAGAAATATGAAAATTTGGTCAATCAACCCTGCCATGAATCATGTTGCTCCATGTTCAAGACATTTTAATGTCAGAAATTTCAGAAAATTCCATTATCTCAGTTTTACTGGTTAAAACATTACAAACCTTCTGATTCCGGATGCTGACTTATGTGGCCGGACAATGAATGAAGACTAAAAATTAAAGTTAGGAGCAATCCAGTAGTTAAATAGCAAGCCAAGGACCTTAACAAATACTGAGAGCTACTGTTAGCTACTACTGCAAATATCTCGCTTCAGTACAGTGATGTACGGATGTCCAGTGTGTGTGAGACACTAAAATAAAACTTTGGTTCCTGTGGCTTTTTTGAGAAAGCTGTCAACTCATATGAATGAATGAAAGACTCAATGAATCAAGGGAAGAACGGACACAAAATGAGCTATAAAGACTAATAAAGAATCCTCGTGTATCATAAGAAAGAATTAAAAAAACATGCTTAACGTAAACACAAGTTTTGAATCCCAATAACACAACTGTTTGGCACCTTATTCTGACGTGGTACCACGCTGCCGCTTCACCTGAATTTGAGCTGTCACTTGCAAGTTGTCATAACGCCAAGTTGTTTAAACATTAGCGGCAGCACACTGGCTTTAAACTCATAAAAATGATTGTGAGATATATTTACTGGTGATGTATGGGTACAATGCCTGGCTCTGGAATATGAATGCCAGACAAACTGGTTTAAGGGAACACAGTGTGAGAGCAGGTCTGTTTATTTCCTGTAAGCTAACTACCACAAGCTAGCTGATGCTAGCTCAGCAGCTAGCAGCCCGGACGGGCCTGTTTTAAATCTTTAGGCAGCAGTTGTAACTGACGTTGAAAACTAATAAGCACCACAACACGGCACTCAGTCAAAGTTTTCCTCGGCTGGCCACATTTCAGCTGATATCAGCATGAACTTTGGGGATTTTGCATTTACCTGTTGGGAAGTGAGCTCTACATGCAAGGCTCGAGTGGATGAAGCTCCAGAGTTGGTGACAGAGGCGGCGGGTATAGCGAGAACCCGACCGGTGATGGAGTTCATCCTCCTGTCGGCATCTAACGGGTCCCCTTCATTCAACGAAACAATCCATCCTCAGCAAAAGTGGCGCTCGGCTAGAAGTTCACGAAGCCCCGGTCAACCATGAGAGGCATGCAGTCAGGGCTGTTGATGTGTGTAAGGCAATACAACAGCTGTCAGCTAACCGGGGGACGTAAACAAAGTACGAGCTTTTTTGCTACATTCGGTTCGGAAATCCGTCTCCGGCTGGAGGTACGTCACTCAGGGTTATGATAGGGTGATGGGAACATCCATCAAAAAAAGGCCGGGCCTATTTCTAATATGCTTCTCTCCTATTGGTCGGCTTGTCTGTATGTCATCCAAGAGGAGGCGAATGTCCGTTGAAAACTGTCAAATCTGCAAATATGAGGAAGTTGCAGAGAGCAGCGTGACATGCAGGTGACAGCTAAGGGCTGATAAAACAGGCCGACGTACTTCATATATCTACGGGTACATGCTCTTTGAAAAAAAAAAAAGAATTATTCTAATCAAACTGGTTATAAACTTTAGTCTGGCTAACAACTTAAGATCATTACAGTTTAATGTGCATACAGTATGTTAGGACCATACCATAATTTGCAGGGGTGGCTTCAGCAGTACTAGTATTAACCAAAGCGTCTTTAATAAGCATGTTTGGTAAAGAAACGCAGACTTAACACACCCAAAGTAGTACTATAGCATAAATAAATCCATTAAGAATTATGTCTAAAGTATTCCTCCTTCAGGGGCTTCATTATAATGTAAAGAGTTCAGATACATTAGACTTTTTTAGTATGCTTAAAGAAATTTGGTATTTTGTAAATTGAATTAGGAAAACATGTCAAGAAGCTAAAGAAATGTTTTTTTTCAAAGTAGTTATTTACAATTATCACAATTATCTTACAGTAAAATGAGGAGCAGCAAACTTTACTGGAAGATATTTAAGTAATATTAGCAATTATCTAAATGAATCACTTAGCATAACTCAATAATTGATAGGTTGTTACTGCTGTTGCATTATATTTAGACAAATATGATGCAACAGCAGAAAATTGAGAATATATAGAGAATATTAAATACAAAAAATACCCACAAGGTGGCGTCCTCGACCACAACCAACAGTTTCTGCAGAAAGCAAAGGACTTTTCAGTTGGCATTGATTTTTGCATAGTTACAAGATTTGAAATAGATCAATATCTTTGCAGACTTGCTGATCTGGTGGTTTAATTGAGTGCTGAACAGTTTTCTATGGTCCCCTCTGTTCTCCTTTTGCCTCCAATATTAATTTCATAGAAACGGCACTATTGTGCAACCATGGGCCAAAATTAATGCGTACTACCATATATTCAATTAGCAACCATTAAATAGATTAACCAGGGATGTTTTACAGCAAAGATTACTTGCCCTAAAAAAATTAAAATGATATCCACTGTTAATTGCATCATGTATTTAATTTCTACGTATATATATATATACCTATACCGTAATCAAAAGGTTAAACAGCTTCATACAGGATGTTACCTTTATCACTACAAGAGGCGGCAAGTTTTCACTTGAAGATTGTGCAAGTTGTATATTGGACAATTGTGAAATTTCAAAATTTTCACGACCACATCCTCATTAAGGGGATTTACCCAGATTCTCCCCACAAGTGGCGCTCTGATAGTCACATGCCCTGATGAAAAATGAATGAAAAGTCTTTGACATTTTGCATGTAACCTTTTCCTCTAATTTTGCTTTAAATACTCTTATCTTTTTTATTCTTTACAAATGCTCTCTGTTTATTTACCAATTATATTCTGTTTTTATATCACAATTAGGATCATTTAATTTCTTTTATTGTTGAAAGGGTTTGAAAAGCTGTATTCATTCATGCTGATCATGGGTCAGGAGTGTTTGTGATCTTGATCTGCTGTGAATGTATGAAACATGGAAATAAGTCTCTAAAACACACAAACACACATATCCACACATATCCTGAAAACATACAAAAGTTTAATCTAAACATTGGCAGACAGGTGTTATCTTCCATCATATGGGTATTTCTTGCCATTTATTGCTCTCAGATTTATTGCACTGGGCTTACACTGTTCTTCAGAAGTCATCACAATGAGACCAGAGGGAATTGCTCTTCAAATGACAATCCTATAATTTACTTTCAATCTTTCGACCAATCAACATACTTTAAGCTTCGCTATTCTGATGATTCCCAGGTAGATTCTACTCATACTATTATGTCAGAAAAGTACCAGAGACACCTTCAAATACTGAATAACTTAATACCAATAAGGAATTACTAGGTGTAAATCCCTCATTTTCAAAGATCACAGCCACCGTATTGTCACAGTGATACACCATATACTGGAATCAGCAGATAGACATTTTTTTATATCCACAAAATGACTCCACTTTTCTCAAATACTGCTCAAAAAATGCTTGATCAGTTTCCACAGCAAAAAAAATAATAATAATTGTATCCTTTTAGATTAAGACCTGGTTACCAGAGTAACAAAAAGAAAAAATACAGCCAAGCAGCCCACTGACTGTTAAGCAGAATTTATCTCTGATCAGGCATCTTTTTTAGAATAAATCTTCAGATGGAAATCAGCAATACAAAAAAAAAGTGCAAGAGAACTATTCACTGAGGGACAAGCACTGAATTAGGCTTTTTCCTCTCTAGAAAATATAATTAATACTTTATGGCTTTGTAAAATCACAGGCACATGAGAATTGTCCATTCACAATGTAAATCCACCCTGCAGAATACTTACATTTTGAGTACAGAAAAAAAAGAGAAAAAAAAGCCATTAGTGGTGATATAGGTCTTTGGTTCAATTAACCTTTTGGGTTTATTATCCCAGCATTAAAGTGGTTCCTTCCATTTGCATTGTTTGTGCGTTTAGCATGTAGTAGGGTCATAAAGCACTTAAAGATATGAATGCACAGATGAAATAAGACATGTCCTTGTCTTAAGTCCTAAGCGTTCTTACTGCTCCATCTAGTGGAGTTTAGCCCATTCTGCACAGAAATGGTCCAAACATGATATCTTTGCAGGGATAACCCACAATGGAAGCAAAAAGGCACATCTTTTCACATGGAATTTTGTGTATCTATGGGCTGCTGTTAGAGGCCACAATTCTTTAAAACCTGCTTTCATCTAAGACTGAACTATGCTTGTGCGAGTATGTTTGAGACACTTCAGTAAGCCGGAGTTTCTTTTTCAAATGTCCGCATGTGTACAGTTTGCAGTCCAGGGACAAACCGGCCACTGAGATAGGAGGAGGAGGAAAAACTGCAGCCACAGTTCAGAACTCAGTGCCCTCTCACTGGATGTGCAGGATGTCACTTTCTTTTAGACCAAAGCGGGTCTTATACTTGTCAAAAAGGCTTTGGAGGGACCTAGTGTACATCCCATGGTAGAGATTCACCATCTCTTCAGTTGGGTCCTCAATTTTTGGCACCGTAATTGGCTCTCCAACTGAAAAAAAAAAAAAAAAAAAAGCAGAGAGGATTAAATACAAAGCATTGCTCACAAATTGGTCATCTTTTTTTAAACTATCTGCTGGGAATTGTCCTGTTCTGAATAGTTTCAATTAGTTCAAACCAATAATGCTCATTCATGTTTAATCTGACCTTGTACAGAAACCAACAACTCAAAAAGATAAACTTGCCTATGGTAGTGATAGGGTTGCCAAAAGGTACAATGCCCCAGGAGTTGCCAAAGAAGAGGCCACATCCATGGAATAGGCACGGGGCAAAACCCAAGATCTTCTGTAACCTCCTCTGCAAATATCTCCAGTAGGTTCCCTCCTCGAAGATCACCTGCTTGTAGGCATCGTTCTCTCCAAAGGAGTACACAGGAACCAGGTCGGCGCTAAAGAAGGAGCACAAAGGAAGTGAGCCAACAAATATCCACATTCCCTGAACAATACATAGCAACTCCAAAACTGTGAGGACAAAACTCATTGAAACATGGAGCCCATATCAGGAAGAACAAAGGAGCTGTAAAAAATAAAGTAACACTGATTCAATCTGCACTTTTATTTAATCAGGGCAGAAAAAAATATTCTTAGTGTTTATAAAGGTGTAAACAGCTATCAAACTAGGTTTCAGGGAACTATGTGGCATGCACGCTTTTATTACGCATCTCAATAATCTGCCAACATGTCAGCTTTATTTCTCTGAAAAGTTGAAACATTTTAAAGTAAGTATGTTTTGTTCCATTTGCTAATTACCGTAAATCAGTTTGGGACACGTAAACAAACAAAAATTCTATATTCAGCAACTCAACTGGGGGAACAGTTACGTTTTTGTGTGTGTGGCATAACAATTATGCAAGTGTATTATGCCTTCTGGAAACTTTGTGGATCTAAGTCCTAAAATCCAACATGATCGTTGCCCGAGCTTAACCTCTAACATTTGGGATCAGGGGTTGGAACATGTTCATGTGACTGTGGGATCCTTCAAATGTCCTTTAAAATGGTGAATATTTTTATGACCTACAGAAACCATCAAATGTATCATTTAACAAGAAACAAATGTTTCACCCTATTTTTGATTTTAAAAAAACAAAAAAACATTGGTGTAAATTCATTAACTGACTCAACTGGGTGTAACATAAATTCTTTTTCATGAGATTTGAAACAAAGCTGCAAGAAAGATCCAGAAAAATCAGTCCTTACCGACCTCACATTTCAGGCTTAGGTCGGCTGAAAAGTTAACCCAGTTGTTATGAATGAAGGTCTACATAACTGCATGTCTTTGCCAGCCAGCTCTAAGCTTATTTAGACAAGGTGCACCCAGCGATATGATAATCCTCTGCTGTATTTCAAGGGGGAATTGGTCTTGTTTGGGCTACCACGACAAACCAAGGCCAGTTTGAGTGCATTTAGTAATGGTGATTAATGTAAAGCTAAGGCCAGCTCACACATTCTGACCCCTCTGACAGGGCAGTACATGCTACGAGGGGCTCGTAGACCTTCAGCGGACAACACAGCACATTCATAACAGATTTGGTAACGCTCACTGAGGCATTTTTAACCTTTTCTAATAGTAATAATCTTGGATTTATTGGTTCCAGTGAGTCGCCACACAGGGAGCTATGACATTCTCCTGTTCATAACAGATTTGCTCAAGGTTGTGTTTTGTCGCCAAAAACTTCACGTGACCTTATGTTTGAATGTTGGACTGAGAGCTCACCCTTTCTGCAGGGCTAGCCTCACGAAGCCTTTCCGGTTCTTCAGAGTGACCGAATTCATGCCGGGTGCACACTGCAGAGACTCCGCTGCTCCTCCAACTACGATGACCACAGCATTTCCTGTCCCATTACATGACAGCAGGTAGTCAATGGAGTTCTTGTTAACTGGGCAGATGCCTGTTGGGAGAGAAAAGATTTAGAAAGGTTATGATCATGACAGCCAATATATTGATTTGGATGTAGACTTATTTTTCCTTTCTCAAAGCCTGCTGGATTACACAATGCAGAAACTTTGACAAAAAGCATTAATTCGTCTCTGTAGTGTGAAGAAAAAAAATCATATAAACAGGGGGAGTCTTAAGGCTGAAGGCCAGCACAAAGGCCAGCAGTGAACTAGGTGAGCATTCACAATGTATCTCCAGGCAAAGATTAAGTCGGCGCAAACAGCCCTTCGGAGCGTATCAGGCTCCATAAATCAGTTAAATCAGCAGATCTAAGTAAACAGAAGCAGCTCCAGCTGTGCAATAGGACAAAGGTCCGCTCTCAGACAAATACAGATATCGACAAACAAACATTTCAAGAGCTCAAACAAGATTGAAGGCTTCCCGGGTCCTCTAACCTCCAGACATCAGGTAGTCTCGAAGGACAGGCAAGCGGAAGTTCCCTGCCAGGGTTGCTAAGGAGGGCTTGATGCCGGGGAATTTCTTGGAGAAGCCCGTTGCTTCTGTCCCAAAGTTGCAGAAAGCCCCAAAACAGAAGATGCCATGGGGGTGGGAGCCAAATATGTAGTTCCGGCTGGGCAGCAGATCGTGCGTTTTAATTAGCTGGAGGACAAAGCACAAAGTGAGAGTTACTTTGCTGAACTGGTATTCGTCTGGTTTAAGACAGTCACAAGAAATCTCAGGGAACAATACAAAGAGTGGAATCTCATGTTTATTTCTAATCCTGGTGTGTGGCTAGCCTCTGCTTTGCTGATTCGACTTTGTAACGTTTTCATTGTGCAGCACGCTATTGATTGATGTGCTGTTGTTTCTCCTCCTGCCAAGGCCAGAGTCTACTCTTGTTTTTCTTACTGGTTTGGCTGGCAGATTACATAAAAACTTCCAAGGCAACTCCTTTGGAACTTGGTGTAGAGATTTGGTGGTAGGAAAACTATTTTCTCAAATCTAGGTGCAAACTGTGAAACTGTTTAGCATTTCTTACAGATTTATTGCTCAGTCTGTCTAAGTGGAAGACCTGTATGCATCACCACTCTCTGTGTCAAATACCTCCCATTGTAAAGACGGGACCAAGTAAAGCCTTCCTAGAAATAGTGTGCGACATGGATTTGGGACAGAGCCAGTATTTTTAGCATAAGTAGGGCATCCTTATCAGTTCAAACCAGACGGAACTCTCCTCAGCCTGCTCGGGTACGATCATAAAATGATCAGCCAGTGTGCATGCTTGGCCACCTGTTCAGGCTGGCAGCAATTAACTTTTAACTTTTCCTCTCTTCGGCTCTGGCTAAGGCCGTCGCTGTGCACAATCACGCAACCAACTGCATCCAGATCTGCAGCGCAGATGAAGATCCGGCACAGTGTGTACACAAAGCTTCTATACAGGTGGTCAAACACTGGTTGCGTAATCACTTTGGCAAACGGAGATCGCTTTTAAGATCCCTATGGTGCTACAAGACTCAGACCTACACAAGACCACACTGGTGTGGCAGAGATGAAGCAAAGGAGAGAGCAGGGTTTGACACTTCAGGCAGCTGGAACGAGCTAGAATAAGCACTGTCTGATCCTAAAGTAGCAAAAACATAAGACTTTGTTTCTATATTAAAATAGGCCGCGAAGAATTTTTATCTAAAAGGTTTCATAAGGGTCACATATTAGACTTTCAACTTCAAGCTAGATGAAGTCTTGGACTTTGACCAGATAGTGTCCAACTCATAAATAATAGCCATGTTGATACTACAGTAGGCCTCCACAAATCACCCCTCAACAGATAGTATCAAGCTAGAATTCACCCACTAGCATATCTTTAACTTCTGTAACTATTATTTGAGCTCCGTCTTAACAGAAGGTTAAAAAAACGATTACAGGAAAAAAATATATATAAAAGAGTATTACAGCAACGTTGACATTTCTTCAACACGGCAAACTTAACTAATGCCAGCTGGCAACAAGGGTCTGATCTCATCAAGCCACAAAGACAAGTCGTAACACTGGTCAAACAGCACAGATCAATAGGATGAGCAAAGGTCAGCTCCCACCTCAAGCCCGCCGAGATCTGATCCACCTTTTAAAATGTGGATGTTTCTCTGAACTCTTGCATGGCTTTTAATGCTTACTTCATATTCTGAGTATAATGTTTAAAAAACAGGCCAAAGATACAAATTAAATACTGAATACTGCCTCCCCAAGCGTTTATAAAACACTTCCATCACTTGCTAACTTTGAAAACACTTTATGGATTAGTCTGTTGTGAGAAAATTTCAATGACATTAAAAATCAATATGGCCACCTTTTTAACTCTAAAACTTAGGGCCACTGCAGAGAACTTTTCCTGGATATTACATCACACAAGTAGAATTGTGTAATCACTTCGGGTGATAAAAAATGTTAGTCACTGTTGCTTTTGCAAGATCCCATGACAGTCATTTCAAATACTCAAATTGACAAAAGTCAAGATAGGAAAATTCAAAGGTGTTTATACAAAGGAAGAAATTGTATAATTCCTGTCTAAGATTTTGGGTATATGGAACCATTTAATCCATTTCCTTTATGGTTTATGCAGCAAAATTACACAAGATCCATAATCCATAAATATCCACCCAAAGCCCACCAATACAATTATTCCTTCTATATACAACAAATGGGTAAAAACATGTCTATGATTCCAGCATTAAATAGTGCCTGTTCGTTAGTTTAGGATGTGATTGTCGCATTATTATTTCTGTTAATCCAACTAATTCATCATCTCAGTTTAAATCTGTGATTGCTGATAATTCAAGTCATTACTCACAAACCCAAAAAATGTTTAAAAATAGGCAGGAGGTGACCCATCTTTGAAACATGCCGAAGCCTTGACCTTCAGCCTCTTAAGTAGCAATTTAATCATGCCGAGCTACTCCTCCACCCTCTGCACGCTGTGTGGACGTGTGCCTGCCGGTCAGCCTGGGGAGGGAAAGTCCTCCCAGATACCCAGGGACCATTAACGAGGACAAAGTCTCAAACTCCAAACCAACGTCAGGCCTTCATCGTTAACACGGGACAAGGGACAGCGTGGAGCAGACAGATGATGCACCGCCCCAGATAAGCCTTATCGGCTGTCCAATGCGAGTCATACAGTATGGACCTTTTTTAAGAACGAACCACAGCTTTATTTAAGTGGTAAGGAGGAGACACCAGGAGAATAACCCTTTCACCTACCCTGATGGGAAAGTAGTCCCGGAAATACGACCACACTGTCCAGTTTCTCACCCATGAAGATCTTCTCCCTCCTGAAAGGAAATAAAAAAATACTTATTCCAACTCCTGACTTGCTCATCTTTTGAAAAGCTTCAGGGGTCTCTTTAGCAGAATCAATCAAATGAGTGGTTGAATTTCATTTATGAGGATATTATTCACAAAATTTTGTTTGAGTCTTTCCATTATGAAATTATTTCAAATTCAAAATGGAGGTTTCTCAGGCAGCTATGGCACATTTCTGTGTCAAATTATTTATTTAAAACAGCTTAAGGTAATAATGTGTCATTGAAGGAAGGATAAAACATACAATTATTTCCATAATTTGTTCCTTTAATAAAGGTTAATGAGTGAAATGGTAGCTTAGGGTGGGCAGCATCTGTTAACTGATGTCTGTGTGACAGGAAGAGTTTAAGACATAATGCTGTCCTTGTTTATGCTAATCACTGAAAATAGCTTGTGCAATGCTGTGGTAACACAAAGACTCTGTAGTCATAAATATGAAGTCATGCTGCTACGAGGGATGTGTCTGTGCGCGTACTCATGTACAAGCCCATTTGTTGCAATTTCATCTATTAATCACCGTTTAGTGTAACTTGAATGCTGTGATTCTCAGAAATGTCATCTCAAGTGCAGGTTCTAATGAATTACACTGCAGATTCCATCAGTATTGAGCATCTAAAGCTTGCGTCATCATCATCCGAGCAGGGGTGTTCTTCCTCCCATTAAGGGAAAAACTGCTAAAAAACAGTGGCTGTTTCCATTCTTAATGTGTGCCTTGCCTTGTTTGGGGGTATTCCAGTCAACAATGAGCCAGGCTGTGTAAATGGCAGCGATCAGCCAGCAATCAGTCCAGAACAAATAGATGAGCAGCACCGTGCAGGCGGCACCTGGAGGGAGGGATGGTGAATTCAAAGGTTGAGTATTCAGAGGGGAAAGGGTCAGCAGTGGGAGTCACAAACAAGTGTGTGTGCAGCCTGATGATGATGCCATCCTGGCCCTAATGAGCTAACGCATGCACTCACCCATGGCTAAAAATGAGAGGACCCACTGCAGCACTGAAATGACCTGCAGGTGCTTCTCCATCTTGGACCTGCAGGGCCAGATCGCCGATGGCCGGTTCTGCAGGGCGGAGAGGATGCTGGATCCAGTGCCTGGTCCAAAAATGATGTAGAAACTGTCAGCTTAAAATCAGGTGCAGATTGTGCCAAACAGAGATGCTAAGTGGCGGTAAATTGAGCACTCAATGCCTTCCCTGAGCTTTGCTCCCCGTGACTCCACTAGCCTCCAGTGCATCATTAAACGCCACCGACCACACTCACCAGCACTCGCTACCGGCCAGCCCATACGCCCGAAGCCATGCAGCTACATGTGAGAATCCATGAGGAAGACGCATAAAATGCCGGCCACCTTAAGCCTGTCAAGCTTGCACGGCTGAGAGCCAATGAGGAGCACAGCCTCCCTCCAGAGACTGCCGTCTAATCCCATCATGCCTCACTGAAAATAACCCAGTACCAGGTAATGCTTGTAAACTATGATGGTGACACTACTTAAGACTCCCACAGCAACAAAGAGAGGGAGACGATGAGAATAAAGCCGATGAAGGCTAAATCTGCTGGCAGGCTGCCTGTGGCCCCTCATGGAGCCAGATGAGTGCTCCCCTGCCCGGTGGACGGCAAACAGGATGCCTTTAGGTTTTAGGTTTAAATGCCTGGAATGGGACCTGATTTGCGTTGGTGCCCACCTTGCCTGGGTCAGGCAGAAATTGGGGTGCGGCAGAAAGCTTTTTAAAATAAAAACATCCAGCTGTGGCCCTCTGTAGGCTCCGCCCACCGGATGACGCTCAGCCTGGATCGAGACCAAACTGCTCATGCGTCGGCTGACCAAACCCGTCCGGCCAACACTTCCCTCACTGCTCAGGATCTTTGCTGCTAGTTATGCAACTCACCTGATCAAGCCTGAGAAGAACGAGCTGTAATTTGGCCAAAATCCCCCCCCCCCCCCCCCCCGTGTGGGCCAGATTTACTCCTAGTCCTTGAGGCAGCCAAAAGGAGGTGCAGAAGTCTACTTTTGACACAAAATTATTCAAATGATGAAAGGAAAATCAACCATGTAGATGAAGATCACAAAAAAAGCCTCGTGTGCACAGATGTCGTCGACCTCAAACATTTGGCAACCGTGAAAGGAAACAAAATGATGTTTTGAATTTGAAATAATTAAGCTAAACTGATACAGTCTACATCAGGAGTCAGATTAAATATTGATTATTTCTATTAATGTAGCAAAAAGCTGTTATTTAAAATGTTTTCTGTCTAACTGAATAGTTCTTCTTGGTCAATCCCACAGCTGGACTCAGGCTTCTGCTCACATGTTACACAGAGCAAACACAGTTCATGAATAGGGGGATATTTTAGGCTCTAATCACTGGTGATCATTTTTACTTCGACTTTGAAAGCTATTTCTCATCAGTCTAAAGGTTAAACTGTGTAATTTTACGTTGATTTCCAACGAGAAGTGTTTGCTACACAAATGTTACTCATTTTCTGTTTTGGCATTTTCTCCTGTAAAATTAGATGGTAGAGAAAATATATTGAATTTAAAGAATTCAAAATCAGTGTGATGAGGAGATGTTGAAGAAGAAAAAAAAGTAAGTGATAAATCTGTAATTTAGTGACTTAAGGCATAATAAAACATCGAAATGGGACTTAGAGAGAGTCTCTTGGGGGCAAGAGCAGTCATCAGAAAGAATTACAAATAGCATTTTCAATCCGTAATCAACTACTTTAGCAATATATATATAAAGAAAAACAGAAATGAGAACTTTATATTTGCATGAGCATCCAGAAAACGCTTCTCTCACAGACTCCAATACACTGATTAAACACACAGAATACTAATCAAACTCCCAGTCCCAGTTTGGTGTATCTCTGCAGGCGTTTGGTTATTTTATTCTATAAAAAAAAGAAGAAAGTAACCACAACAATGACCCTCACACATTTGAATCCCAGCCTAATTACACAGAGTGACACTTCCATGACACGCTGACCTGTTTCTGGTCCGTCTGTGTGCGCGTGTCTTACCTTTGAGGACGCCAGAATATGCAGCCAGAATTGTCTTCATATTCGAGGCTTCGTGGATGGTTCCGGCGCCCGGAAAAAAAAAAAA